ATCTAAAATTTTCAGATCCAGACCAACTCGACGGGCTCTCGTATACACTCATTTGGTTCTGCACGCAACTGTTTTAATGGAATTCAATTATAGTTATACTTTCATAATCAAAATCTAACGCCGATTTTTTTTTAATGAACTTAAGTAATAATATTCGAATTCTGGAAAGTCTTGTCAATTGACCCTTAAATTATAGAAATTGTTTGATTCAATAGTGCCAAATCTATTGAGAAATAAATTTCTAAAGTGAATATGATTCTTAAACAACAAATTCAGTTTTTTTCTTTCGAAAAAAGATTTATTATTCTTTAGCAATTATTGTTTGTTTAGATGGCTCTCGATTGTTGGACAAGAATAATCATAGAACCAGTCAAAGAACGACTAGTTAAATTATTACTCGAACAAATTCATCTGTTTGTAGATTATTTTCTAATTTCATTCATTTGTTTTGAAAAATATTTCGCATTATTCTAGTGATCGTATATGTGAGTGTGTTAATCAAACAACTATAAAAGGTGTTATTATGTCATTTGTTGATGTATGTCAACATAAAAAAGTCAATGCATTAGAAGTAAAATAAATATTATTATATAAAAAAAGAATTTTTTTTTTATATATTGTTTATTTAGCTTTACGAAAAATCATTTGAAAATCGATTACTTCAAGCAACTGGAGAATATTATCGAGAAGAAGGAAATCGTTGTTTAACAAAACATGATTGTATTCAATATATGAAAAAAGTAATTATTTTAGAGATAAGAAAGAACAAAAAACACAAGAAAAGCAATTTTTTTCTTTAGATTTTATTATTAATTGATGATGAAGAATTTCGTAGTCGTAAATTTCTTAATCCAACATCATATTCAAAAGTTTATAATGAATGTCTTCAACGTCTTGTTTGTGATCATTTTGATACACTTAAAAGTGAATGTAATGAACTTATTATTAAAGAAGATTTAGATGGTAATAAAATCGAGATTTTAATTTCAAACAGAAAAGAAAAAATTAAAATCAATTTGTTTCTTGATATATTTTTTTTTCTATTCTAGCACTTAATAATATGTATAAATTACTTAAACCAACACATATTGGTATAAATTATATGGTTGAAAAATTACAAGATCATATATCACGTATTGGTCATGAAAAAATTCAATCACTTAAAGGAGAAAATGTTTGTTATAATAAAAGAATAAATAAAATAAATTTTCATTTTTCTTTTTTTATTTTTGATTTTAGTTATCAACATTATTTGTTGAAACATTACTTGAATTACATACAAAATATATGAATGTGATAAAAGAAACATTTGTTAGTGATCCAGAATTTGTTTCATCACTTGATAAAGCTTGTGCTACGATTGTGAATATGAAATATGGTAATCGTTTATCGGCTAAAGCACCTGAATTGGTATTTATCATTTTTTGTTTTTCTATAAAGAAAATTATTTTTTATTTTTGTTTTAGCTTGCTCATTATTGTGATAGTTTATTACGTAAATCATCAAAAGCAGCTTCTGATAGTGAAATTGAAGAAAAATTACTTAGTTCAATAACAATATTTAAATATCTTGATGATAAAGATTATTTTCAACGTGTAAGATTAAAAACAACAACAAAAAAAAAAAAGAAAAATATTGATTTTATTTTTTGTTCTGTATAGTTTTATCAAAAAATGCTTGCACGTCGACTTATTAATCAACAATCAATTTCAATTGATGCTGAAGAATTTATGGTTACAAAACTTAAAGTATTTATCAGATAAAATTTTAATTTTTAGAAAGATTATAACATTTAAAATAGCATAAGAAATTTCAAAAAACACTAAGAGTTAAAATAAGTTATGTACAAGGACAGGAGAACAAACACTTGCTCGCTATGGAAACTTTTACAAGAATTTTGAATATAATGATACAATAAGTAAATTTCTTGTGAAAAAAAAATGACCTTCTTCATAAACTGACTGATTTAATTGTTCTTATATAATGATAAGTTGTATTCAACGAAACATGTGTATAATTAAGTTACACAGACTGACCTCACAAAAACGATGTGTGTGTGAAAAGAAGATACCTATACTCTAGCGAGCAAGTATCCTTGACCCGTATAAGATGCCCGAAAAAAGAAATTTACCCCATTTTTGCAATATTATTTCAGTGATAGATAGAGCTTAGAAAAAACATATTTGAAAGAGATATTTTTATTTTGGAAACGTACCACCATACTTGGAGACAAACAGCAAAGCCATTAAATATGAAATCTATGTTGGAACGGTATAATCTCATCGGAAAGCAAGACAAAGGTTCATAGTTATTTCGTAGTTGAAATTTTGTGTAACCATAGAGCTAATGGTATACGCACAATGAAAGAAAACTTTGATTTATAAAGGGTTGTTGTTGACTTTTAAAGATTTTTATTTTTTTTCGTTTGGATAGAATTATATTAATTTTGTTGATAATTACTGATTTATCATTCTTTGTTATATTGCATTTTTTTCTCATTCTGAAATAAAAATTTACCACTAATTTAGACATATTTTTTCTATCTGTTAAAACTCTCTATTTTACAGCATGTAATTGAACGTAACGAAAGCGAATTCAGATAATGAATTAAAGTAATTAACTTAGTATGGTATATTCTTTATACTACAAAATAATGGAATATTGCTATTGCACGAATATTTTAGTGTTAATAGAAATAAAGTAATAATTCATAATGATTCACACGTACACTCATGCTATGAACGTCTAGGAACATAGCTTGAAGATTTCAAGTGATAATACTATTTCGTTGTTGAATCATTACAAAAGATCGAAAAGTAATAAATATGACTTCCTTCCGGAATGGATTTCATATACTATGAATATCTGGTGAAATGTGTTCAAAATAAAAGCAATTCTATATAGTAGAGTTTTTTTTCAGCTCTAACTATTGCAAAAGATATTGATTCAAAAACTAAATCTCATGAGCGTATAAATTATATTTCATAAGAAGGAGTAAGTTCCTTTTTTTGATCATCTTGTAGATAAAAGATTTAATATTTTTTTCAGAATAAAATTTCGACATGAATTTTCTCGTTGAAAATTCATTGATTAAACAAATGATAGATATGTCTAACAACAACTATTGTATTGAAAAAAAATTATTTCGAATATTTGATCTTTTTATTTCGTGTAGGAAAAGAAGATATGATTTGTAGTTCATCCTTTTAATGGAATAAGTTTTTTTTTGAAAAGGAAAAGTCCGAAACAAAAAGAAAAATTCTATATAATTTGTATTGAAATGATATTGTTTATTTCTTACTTGTTTTTTTCAAGGAATTTTTTATCATTAAGTCTTTCGTGTCATGAATTGTATATATTTGCATTTCTCGATATTGTAATCAATGGAAATCACAGTTGAGAACCGGTCGTAACAATAGAAAAAATTGCAGTTATCTCGAGGGTATTCAAAAAGATCTTTCGAATTTCCTTGCTGCAACTGTTCTGAACTAGAACTGTAATTACTACTCTTTGAGATTCTTTGAGTCTCAAAGTCTTACATTTGTGGATATCAAAATTTACATCCAGATTCAAGTAACTTTGCAATGTCCTTCAGAAAAAACTCTACCGTCACGATGGACATCTCTGATAGAAATCATGAAAATAACTTCAACGCTTCCGAAAAGGATTTAAATATGATAATAGCTGTGTAGTTCAAAAAATAAAAATGATGTTTGCTGATATTTTTTACAAACAATATCTTTCGAGAAGTATACGAGGAAAACATTTTTCTGCAACATACAATAATATAATAATAATAATCTTTGTTTTTTTTTCTTACAGCAAATATGTGGTTATGAATTTACTGGAAAATTGGCTCGTATGTTTCAAGATATTAAAGTTAGCGATGATCTAAATATTGAATTTTTGGAATATCTCAAATCGGAATTATCGTCAACAGCACACAATCAAACAATGACTGGTTTGATTGGTCTAGATTTTAATATATATGTTTTACAAGTAAAACAAATGTTTTTTTTTTTATTTTTAAAGATTTTAAAAATCTATTGAATTTAACTTATCTATTATATAGGCAAATTCATGGCCAGTTTCTCAACCCACAACTAATACATTTATTCTTCCTAATCTTCTTGAAAAACCATTACAAATGGTATGAAATTTGTTTTTTTTTCTTTTATTATTTTTAATCAATCTAAATTTTATTCTAGTTCGAAGCATTTTATGGTAAAAAATATAGCGGTCGAAAATTATGTTGGATGTATAATTTATCGAATGGTAAATAAATCTAATTATTTAATATATTTAATTATTATTTTATTTTATTTTTTTGTCTTCTTAGCTGAAATTCGTATGACTCATTTGGATCGTTCATATTTTGTTACAATGGGTACATATCAAATGGCTATATTATTACAATTTAATGAACATCAACAATTAACAATTAATGAAATAGAAGAAGCAACGAAACTTAATATAAAAGAACTTGAAAAACAAATTATTTCATTAATTGATGCTAAATTTTTACTAGCTGAAACTGTACGTTTGATACTTATTATTCATTAAAAATAGATTTTGTAAAACACTATCTATAAGTAATGTTAAAGTATAAGGATAAAAATTTCAACTCTTCCCATACAGACGTTTAGGGTTCTCGATTAAGTGAATGAGGAGACTTCTTCCTTCAAAAGGTTCGACTTTCTGACAATTTTTTTTAGTTGTATAATAACATTTAACAAAAACCGAATTTTGAAATACCATTTGCCTTTCACTGACAGAAAGTGATACAAGAATAAGCAAACGATGTCGTTGCAAGGTGAACTGTATTGAGGAAGTGATAACTTGGAGAGAGCCTGAGCCACGATGGATTTCATTTTAAAAATATCGACAATCCTGCAGACGCTAACCGGAGATAATCATAGACTCCTCAGCAAAGTTCTCTCTTGCTAATATACGATCTTTGACTGTATATTAATAACGTCTCGTTGTAATTTATGAATCATGTGTTTATTGCATTTTTGGAAGATTAAGTAAAAGAATATTGAAGAAATGTGTCCCACAGGAGATAGACTAAAATAATCTCTCTATAATTAGTAACCGCAGCTACATCGTGTTTCACATTTTAATCCCGTAAGAATTGCACTAAAAGTTTTTTTTTTTATTTTAGAGTAATTTAGCATCAAATTCAATTATATCAGTTAATTTTGATTATAAAAATAAACGAACAAAATTTAAAGTACCATTATTACCTCCAAAAGAAGCCAGTCATGTAAGTAGATTTATTAAAAAACAAAATTCTTTTGTTGTTTTTTTTTTTACTCACATAAAATAATTTCTATAATAGGATTCTGAATCATCACAAAGAGCTGTTGAAGAAGATCGTAAATTTTATCTTCAAGCTGTTATTGTACGAATAATGAAAGCACGTAAAAAATTAAAACATAATTCATTAATTGAAGAAGTTATAACACAATCTAAACAACGATTTTTACCATCAATTCATATTATTAAAAAATGTATTGAAATTCTTATTGATAAACAATATCTCGAACGAAGTTCAAATGATGAATATAGTTATATTGCCTAAATCATTTACAAAAAAAAAAAACAAAAGTTGATCAAAAAAAAAAAAAGAATTTTTTTTCTTCTTCTCTTATCCCTTTACATTTGCAAAATCGAATTATGTCCATATATATATATCTATACGATCTTTTGTTCATAACTAATTTATTAATCTTCAGTTTATTTCTGCTATACTCTTTTGTATACACACACATGCATATATATATAGATATATATCTATTCATGAGATTTACTAAATTCAAGTGTGCTTTTGAGATTGTTGTTCATATTATTTCTAATTGATGTGTGTGCAATGAATATATAGGATGGAAATTTATTAAGAACAAAAGAGCAAGTTGAATGTTTATTTCTAACAACTAATAGAACAGTGTTGACAACTGATTAATAAATGATTTATTGTCTTTCTCTCCATAGGTTGATGTGCGTGTGTGTGTGTGTATGTTGAGGAGGGTTTGGATTATTTTTCTACTTTCCGTGTTCTATCTTTCTTTTTCTCCTTCTTTTTTTTCTGTTTGTTTGTTTGTTCATTTCTTTTGCCCTTGTCTTTCGATTTTCTTTGACGAAATAAACTTATAAACGACCAAAAAACAAACCAAGAAACCGTGTGGTTATTGTAGACACTTAAAACTCAAGTTCTATTGGCTTTTATAGATATGTAATATCAGTAAGTCAAATTGGATCAAAGTCTCATTGATTCGATAAGATTTTTTATTTCAACTGATTGAACAAAACTGAAATGTAAATTTTTTTTTCAAATCATAAGTGACATGCACATATGAATAAGGCAGAAAAGAATTTATTTTAATGTCCATTTAGAAAAAAAGTTGGATGAAAATTTATTTAATAACTTTTGATAGAAACAAGATAGAAAGTTGCGATTTTCACTGTTAGAAAGACGAGATGAAGACGCGTCGAATTGTATATTACAAGTTTTTTCAACTCGGTCTTTTTAAGGTTTTCAATCGACCTTTTGGAAAAGCAACGTACTATGTGAGATGATTATAATGAATTTTTAATTATCAGATATTCATCTGAATCGTCAATGAAAGTCGTACAAAATTACGCAAGGCTTAGATTTTTAGATTTAGCTATCCAGGAGACATAGGCATCCTATTTAAAATTCTTGGTTGATTTTTCAAGCAATTGCTATGACAAAAAACTGATATTTTTTTTTTGTAAATTTGATTAAAAAAAATTCAGAAAACATCTTAGAAGAACTTATAATATATGATTCGATGCAACTTCATCTCCTCTTTCCATTTGTGAAAAGCATAATGATCTATCTAGTTTCTATCAAGAGTTATCTAAAAGAATACTTACTTACGTTCTTTATTTTAAAATGGCTATTAGTTTACCAGACAACATAAAAGAACAATAAAACCAATATGATGATAAGATTTCATTGTATTGGTAACGATTATTTCTCAACTGTCCTTTTCAATAGATTATTTTAAAAAAGAAAAATAAATTATACTTTTCTTCAATAATAAAAAAATATCGTTTGTGTAGTGTAGATACAAAAATGTTTTTGTACACGACGTGTATTTCTTAATGAATTAATATATATAAAATAACATAAAACAAGTATGACTGAGGATGAAAATAATGTGTATTGTTTAGAAGCATTGATGCATAATATTCAAACTATAAAATAACATGTGTCGGTTGTTTTTATTTATCTAATGAATTTTCATTAACATATATTTTGGAAAATTTCAGAATAGTCAAATAATAATTCAACTCACATTAGGATATTATCATGGATGTTTTTTTTTATTAAATTAAATAGCAACTTTCAATGTACTCGATCATGCGTCTGATATTCAGTACAATAAAATAAAAAAAACAAAAAGAAATATTACACTTCAATTATTATTTATAACTATTTGACTTGTTAACATTATACCTTGCTCTTCACTTATCTTATGATCATTTTTGCTTATATTCGTTTTTATAATATATTATTAAAATGAAATTTAATAATTTTCTTCTTTCGTTTCTTTTTATGCTTCATATCTACGGCGTCTCGTTTTATTCACGATGTATACAAAACAATAATTAAAAAGTTTTCAATAGCTTGCAAATCATTCATTTCCAAAGGTGTTCACTTAATCTTGAAAAATGTTCACTTTTCTCCAACATTTGTCTTGAAATATCCTGATCATCTCACAGTCTTAGTTCATTTGAAAACATTTCACTCTCTATATATTGCCCGTATAGATCATTTTAATTTTCAAAATGCATTCGATAACATTTCGAAATTAGAGTAAATATCTTAATGCAAACATTCATATGTCAGAAATAATTATTTGATGTTAAGATTATTTAAGTTAGATAATTTCAAATGAAATATACATGATTATCACATCTATTGTACCATTTTATCTTTTATTACTTCATCAATTTCTCGACTATGAATAATAAAATATGTTGTTCCTATAACTATATCAATATATGATTGGTTAAAATATTTATCAAATCATCTTTTATTAAAAGTAAAAAAAAATACTCGATGATGATCGGTAGTAGATTTTTCTTTCCATTATTATCAACAATTGTTTATTGTTTTTGTTTTTTATTAAAATTTTATTCATAAAATTTTATTTAAATATTTTAGATGGCAGATAATATACAAGAAGAAATAAATCATCATGATATTAAACAATGGCAACATTGTTCATTATTTAATTTAGATTTATTTAATGATGAACATCATAATTTAAATATAAATAAAGATAATAATATAAATATTGATGAATGTTGTTGTTCATTATCAACACCAAATGTTGATGATCAATTTAGTAAAAAACATTTAGATCATTCATGTCCATTTAATGTTTTACAAAAAAATTATACAACACAACTTGAACATGTTGCTGAAAAATTATTATCTAATAATGATAATAATACATTAGATAATTGTTATTATTGTTCAACATATGAAACAAATGATACAAAAGTACAATCAATTAATCGTAAAATTCTTCTTGGTTCAACAGTTATTTTTGATAATTTTCTTCGAAATAATCTTAAAACATCTTTACTTATAAATTCAAATAATCCTTCATCAACAACAACAACAACAATTATTAATGGTAATAATAATAATAATAATAATAATAATAATCCACGACGATGGCATTCCGAACGAGGTAGTCGTCATTCAAATGTTCGTGCTAATTTACCATTAACAACAGCTCAACGTCAAGTACTTGAACGTTATATGAATTATCCAATAATTAAACCACCAACAAATATTCGTTCAATACATCGATCACATCATCATCATCATCATCATCATCATCAACCAATAATAGGAAAAGTTGTTGAAAATACTGGAACAGCTCTATCTACTCTTACTGAACAACCATTAAATACAACAAATTCAATAAATACTATTTCACATATTCGAAAAAATAGTGCAGCATCAAATAATACACATATACGTCCAATTTTATCAAATGCATCATCAATATCAACTGCATCTCATCGACATTGTTTTTTAGTTGATACAATCGTACATAATAAATCTAAAGATGATTCAAAAAATAATAATGAAAATGAATTCATATCATCTGAATTTGATCATATAGATGATAAAGAAAGTAATATTGAACTTAATCAAATATCAATTTTATCAAATCATCCTTTAAATTTAACAGAAATTTTATCAGAATGTACAATTTGTTGCGAATTAAAACGTTTACAAAAGCGTACATGCTGTAATTTTTATGTTTGTTCAACATGTTTAAATATATATGTTGAACAACAAATTAAACAAGGTATTATTCGTATTCAATGTCCAAATCGACAATGTCTTATATATATGCATCGTGATGAAATACATAAACGTTGTATATCACCTGAATTACGACATAAATTTACACGTATATTAATTGATAATAATCGTTTAATAAATATAAAAACATGTCCAAGATGTTCAAATATACATGAAATAGGTATTTGATATAAGAAGCAAAAAACACAAAAAGAAATTTTTGTTTTTGTTTTTGATTTTAATTCTAGATGTTGAAATTTGTCGATCAATGAAACGAGCACCAACAAAAGTTCAATGTGTTGAATGTAATTTAATCTGGTGTTTTCAATGTCATTCACCATGGCATGATGGTATACAATGTAAAGAATTTCGTCGTGGTGATCGAATGTTAAAAAAATGGGCAAGAGAAGTTCATTATGGACAACATAATGCACAACAATGTCCATGTTGCAAAGTAAAATATATCTTTTTCTTTTTTTTTCTTATTTTTTATTAATTTATTAATTTAAGGTTTATATTCAACGAACTAAAGGATGTGATCATATAGTTTGTCTTCGTTGTAAAACTGAATTTTGTTATAAATGTGGTGATCGTTTTCGAGATATTAAATTTATAGGTTTGTAGTATATAAGAGTTTTACTTTAAAAATTGAACTTAGACTAGGTGCATTCAAATCGTATGAAATTTTCAGGATATGTTCGAGAGAGATATCTAATAAACAAGGGTCAAAAATTGCTCATTTGATCATCAGAATTTCTCTGTAAGCTTTTATTTTATAGAATTTGAAAGAGTATGCCAAACTGCAGTGCCCTTTTTTTGTTTAAATTCTTCGTTTTTATACGGAGAAAAAGGATGACAAGTTTAATATTTTGAAAAATGGTCATCTATTTATAGAAATGCTTTTTTTATATAATTATAAAAAAACTTAATTCAAAAAACTAGTACTGCAGCTCTGAAAAAATACATATTTTTTAAGCAGAACAGCATGGAAATCATCAAAAAATTAGGTGTTAAATAAAAAAACTATGTCGTTTATGAAAGATCAGACATTGGGCTATCTTCTCATGCATTTATCTCAATTTTAATTTTTCTGACGAAAATTGGTTTTTTTTTTTGAGATCGAAAGGACTTAAATAAATTTCAATAATCTATGATTGAAATTTGTTTTTAGGCGATCATTATAGTGAATTAAGTGTGCTTGGTTGCAAATATCGTTTTTATCCTGATAATCCATTAAAACGTCGACTTATACGTGGTTCAATACTTGGTGGAAAAATTTTAGCTGCACCAATTATTTTATGTTTAGCAGCTGTAGCTGGTGCCGTTTGTGCTAGTATTGGTTTTCCAGCTTATTGTTGTTTTATGCTTGTTCGACAGATTAAAGTAAAAAATTTTTGTTTGTTTTTTTTTTCAATATATTTTGTATAATTTGATTTGATTAGGCTAGTCGACGAAAACATCGTCATGCAACATTAAAAGAACCTGTTTTAATGGGTTGTAAGTTAAATTAGAATTTACAAAATCGATAATTTTTATTTTATTCTAGATAAAACATTAAATGATATGGTACCACAATTAATACCACGTGATCCAGTGAATATGAATAGTATTAAATCAAGATTTAATTCAATACGATCAAATATTCAAAATAATATTGATATTAATACAATTAGTAATGCACCAATTGCTGTTTTTGATGGTAAAAATATTTTCATATACCGGGTTGTGTATAACCTTTCTCTAGGAGAGTAGCGCTATTATTTCAAGTTAAATACCTAATGAATTTTATATCAAATTAAAGACCGTCAAAAACTAGATTCATTAGTACTAAATAGTAAGAGTTATCAAAATATTTTAATGTCGAACTTACGAAATTTTCAGAAATTTTATGCTTTTTTTAGCATAGAAAATTAGCGCACCAGCAGTTTTTTATAGGGAAGAAAAACACTCGATTTTCTCAATAAAATTAGTTTTTTCATGATTTTCACTCATAAAGACGCTTCGAGATATACTTATTAGACGCAATTTCTCATGTTGCATCGGATGAGTATATTTCGAAGCGTTTTTGTAAGTAAAAATAATGAAAAAAGTTAATTTTATCGAAGAAATCGAGTGTTTTTCTTCCATATAAAAAACCAAGTTTTTAAAGATTTTTTAGGATTTTACAAGTCATTTTTAAGATTTTTTATCTCAGAAAAGTGGCTCAAGAAACTTTTAATATATATAGTTTTGTAGAGCTCGGCGGGCCCTATCGAACCATGTAAAAGTACTAAAAGAAAATATTTTACTCTATATTTGAATTGCTGGTGCCCTAATTTTCTATGCTAAAAAAGCATAAAATTTCGTAAGTTCGACACTAAAGTATTTTGATATCTCTTACTATTTAGTACTAATGAATCTAGTTTTTGATGGTCTTTAATTTGGTATAAAATTCATTAGGTATTTAACTTGAAATAATAGCGCTACTCTCCTAGAGAAAGGTTATACACAACTCGGTATATTGTTTTATTTTTGTTTTCTTTAGAATGTGATATTCATATTCCAACAAATCAAAAAGGTTAATTTTACAAAACAAAAATTTTCTTTTACTAAAAAAAATAATTTTTTTCTTTTTTTCTCAAGATGAACTAATGACAAGTCCAATAAGTTCATCATCATCACCGAATTTTCCACGATTAATCTCATATTCAACATTACGAACATCAATATCAAAGAAAAATGAATAAGGAAAAAAAAAAAATTTCTCGTCCATCTATTTTTCTTTTCTTTCGTTGTAATTTTAAGCGAAATTATTTTATTGTAACAGATAGTTTGTACATATATATATAACTTCTAACAATTCAGTCGTATCCTAGTCACTTGTCGTAGTTTTATTTTATGCAATTTGTTTCTTTTTTTTTTTGTTCTTAAAAATAACAGTACGTTCAGCTTTTGCTGTTGTATCATATTATTATATCTCTATATATATATAAATATAAATATAATTTTTTTTGTTTTCTATATAAAAACAAAGATGATTTTAAAACAATTACGACTATATAAAAATTTGTTTTTCCATCGTTATTCATCATCATTATCAACAATATTTGCTTTAGCAACTGGTTATCAAATACGTAGTGGTGTAGCTATTATTCGTATATCTGGTTCATTAGCAACACAATCATTGCTAAAATTAACACGAGAAACAAAACTAGAAAACTTTCAACCAAAAAGATTATATTTAAAAAAAATCTATCATGACAAAACAAATGATTTAATTGATCAATGTATGACTGTATGGTTTAAAGGTACAAGATTTTTAAATTTTTATATTTTGAAAATAAGTTTTTTTTATTTATTTTCTTAGGACCAAAAAGTTTTACAGGAGAAGATGTTGTTGAATTGTAAATATGAAAAAAGAAAAATGGAATTTTTTGATTTAATTTTAACAAAAAAAATTTTAGTCATATTCATGGATCAAAAGCAGTAGCAAGTGCAATATTTTTAGTACTTAGTTCATTTACAAATTATCGTTTAGCTGAACCTGGTGAATTTAGTAAAAGGTAATAAATAATTTTGTTTTCAAAATATAATATGAAAATAAATTAGTTAATTTAAGATCTATTTAGAGCTTATTTAAATGGTTGTTTGGATTTAACAGAAGCTGAAGGTTTAATTGATTTAATAAATGCACAAACTGAACAACAACGTAAACAATCGTTATATCAAATGCAAGGTTCATTAAAAGAACTTTATGAACGTTGGAGAATTGATTTAGTTAAAGTATAAAACAAACAAACACTAGGAAATAAGAATTTTTTTTGGTTTTTATTCCTTTTTTAAGTCTTTAGCACATGCCGAAGCTTATATTGATTTTCATGAAGATCAACATATTGAAAATGATATTTTAACGGATGGTATATAAAAGAATAAATTTGAATAGTTTGATGTTTTTTTTGTTTTTTTTTTAGTTATTAATAAAGTAAAAGTAACTTATGATAGTATTTCATTACATTTACAAGATCATCGTCGTGGAGAAATTTTACGTGATGGTTGTCGAATAGCTATTCTAGGTGCACCTAATGCTGGAAAAGTAAATAATAAATTTTTGAATAAAAACAAAAATGTTTAATTTGAGTATGTTTTTAGAGTTCATTACTGAATATTTTGAGTAAGTATTTTCGATATTTTTAAATTTAATAAATGAAGCAAAAATCTTGCATGAGCTTTCTGTTTGATGAAGCATTGCAATATATTATTGTAGAGACTTGATCCTTCTTTTTTTTCGTGTTCCTAGCAAGAGTAAAAATATTATAAAAGAATTTCATAAGAATTGTTTTTCGAAAATCATCAAAATCTTAAAACAAAAGATATTAGGAAACTGTGATGTGATATTAAAATAATTGATTTAGGGTATAAGAGACTGAACAGCAGATAGTTTAATTAAAAAATTAACATAGAGTTTATAACGCGAAAACAAAATTTTGTCTGAATATCACATAAAGAAGACGTATCTTATTCCAAGCAATATGAACCAACTATTTGACTATAATTATTAGTTACAGAAAATTCATGATACCAGAAAATGTTATAATAGGGCTTGTATCTACCGTTGTAAAACCAAAAGTCCGACGAAACAGTCTTAAATCTCGAAAAAATTCTGTTTGTTCGATACCAAGAGACATTCATGATCAGGTCTAATAGAATTCGTAGCGCGAAAAAAGTTTGTTCTACAGAATTCTAGATATTGCATTGTAATGTTATATGAAAAAAAAACCAAACATAATGAAGAACTTTTGTTTCATTCGTTATTTTGAAATTTGGGTATTTTTTTTAAGCACAAAAACCAACAGCTATTGTTTCACCTATTGCTGGTACAACACGAGATGTTATTGAATCCACAATTGATTTAGGTGGATATCCAATAGTTCTTTGTGATACAGCAGGCTTACGAATAACAAATGATCCAATTGAAAATGAAGGAGTTTCAAGAGCTTTTGATCGGTTAGTTGATTTTAAAAAAAATTTTTTAATAAAAAAAAAAATTTGTATGCTTTTTTTCCTTATATGAAGAGCTAATGCATGTGATCTCTTGATTATTGTTATTGATATTAGTACATTATCTATTAATGAAAATTTAACTGAACAAATTGATAAACATTTATCTGATTTATTTACAATAAAATCATCTTCATTTAATTCTATAACTAAATTAATTGTATTGAATAAAATTGATTTAGTTAATGAAAATATTCAATTAAAATTTAATCAATTAAATGTTAATGTTATACCTGTTTCATGTATTTCCAGTGTTAATATTCAAGAATTTCTTTCTAAATTAACCAAATATATTGCTGAAAAGTAAATCATTATTATTATTAATTTTAATAGATAATCTATATTATTTAGATGTACTGAACCATCATTTACAACACCATATTTAACTAATGAACGTCATCGAATATATTTAACACAAACAGTTGAAGATTTATCAATGTTTTTAACATTAATTAACAGTAATAATGATCTTGTTCTAGCTGTTGAATATCTTCGTCTTGCTACTCGATCACTTGGAACAATAACTGGTATTGTTTATACCGAAGAATTACTTGATGTTATATTTCGTGATTTTTGTATTGGAAAATAAAACAAAAAAAAAAGCTACATTATTTTAGGATTAAAAAACTAATCTTTTCTTTCTTTTTTTATTATTTCATTTTAGTTAATAGAAAAATAAAAGCAATAATTATGTCGATTATTTCTCATTTATTATCAATTAGAACATCAATTTATTTAACAAGAAATATTCTTCGACCGACTAGTCGATTAATACAAAATCGTTTTGTATCCTCAACATCACTATTATTAAATAAACCTGATATTAAAAGTAGTACTATACCTCTTGAATTACCATCATCTGAAAAGAAGAAAGCAAAGTATAATATCTCATGGAAAAGTAAGTTAAGAGCGATATATATATATATAATATTACAAATTGCTTGAATAACTTCGATATAGATATTAGAGATATTTCAAATTGTATTTTTATTTTCCAATAAAAAAAAACAGAATCCTATATTGAAATCACAATCAGACAAGTTCCCTGAGATTTTTAAGAGTATTTCCTCAACCAAGAAAATAACTCCATTTATTGTTCATGCTGAATTCTATCCAAGAATAACACTTGAGATATTTGACTAGAAACGAAGCTTGTCCTATTTCAACAAACACATTTCAGTCAATACTCTCTTCATTGCTCTCTTATGTGTTATGATAAATATTAAGCTTAACATTCTTTTGATTTATGTTTGTTTAGCTGTAACTGTAACTGTTCTTGGTGGTGCTTCATTAATAGCTTTCATTTATTATCTTGATCAACGTAAAGCAAAAAATCGTAGAAAACTTCAACGTGCTGCAGTTGGTAAAATGGCTATTGGTGGTCCATTTTCATTGATAACACATGATAAAAAACCCGTCACAGATAAAGATTTTCACGGTCAATGGTTATTAATTTATTTTGGTTTTACTCATTGTCCAGATATATGTCCTGAAGAATTAGAAAAATTAGCTGAAATAACAAAAACTCTTTATAAACAAAAAAATAAACAACAATATCCATTCCAACCTGTATTTGTTTCTGTTGATCCAGAACGTGATACACCTGAATTAATTTCACGTTATCTTAAAGATTATTCATCACATTTTATTGGTTTAACAGGAACACGTGAACAAGTTGCTGATATGTGTAAACATTATCGAGTTTATTTTAGTCAAGGACCGAAAGTTGGCGATGATTATATTGTTGATCATGCTATTATTATGTATTTAATTAATCCAAATGGAGATTTTGTTGATTATTACGGTAGAAATAAGAATGCAAAAGAAGTAGCCGATGCTATTGAACAACATATGAATACCTTTAAAGAGATGAATAAATAATTTCAAAAAATAAATTAGGAGTATATTTGTTTTTCCATGTTGTTAGTTTGCTTTTTTTTTAGATAGTTAAAAAGAAAAAAATGTCATCGATACGAGGTAGACAAAGAGTTAATTTTGGATATAAACAAGTAGATCGTCGAAGAAATAATTTAAAACCAACACCACAAGAATTTCTTAACTATCCTGACGAACAGTATATTGATTTTAGTTCACAAAATATATCAATAAATAAAAAGCGATTACGAGAGTCAGTAGAAATAAAAATAGATTTATTTGATTTTTTTAAAATTTATTTTCAATAGATCACATAGTCCGAAAGCGAATAAATCAAAAAAATTCAAACAAGATAATAATAATAGTTATTTAAGTTCTGCTGATTTTCATATGGTAAATATTTCATGATCGAGCTTTTTATCGCAGGACAAACCATCGCATGCACAGAACGTTACAAAAAAAAATAACAAATTATTGTGCGGACAAAATGTTGCAGTATTTTTTCTGGATGTGAGCCTCAAAAAATTCAATAAATCAGGTCCGAGAATTTCGGATTCGACAAACTCTAGTGTGGGTGCGCACGTACGTGTGTTAGCGAAGAAAACACCGACACCAACAGCCATACATCCAACGCTCTCACAATCATTTTCTACTATTCAAATATATAGCATTTAGAGATATTGCAACATTTTGACTATGCGACGAAAAGTTCTGACGTCAAATTTCTAGTTGTAAAAAATATTCTTTTGATTATTGTCTTTTTCTTTTCATTTTGTTAGTTAACAGATGAACTTTTAAGTCATTACACAACAGCAAAACAACTTGAATCTACTTTTACATTAAAATGGAAACTTTGTGAAGATATTTTTTCAATGTTTGTTGGAATTGTTCCAAGTAAAATCAAAGAAAAAAAAAAACAGGAATTTTATTTATTAATATTGTTTCAATCTATTTAGATTTAGGTGTTTATTTAGTTGGTTCAAGTGCAAATGGATTTGCTACAGAAGATACCGATGCTGATATATGTATTGTGGTTTCATCTTATCCTGTAAGGATTTCAAATAAAATTGAAAATTAATTTTCTTTTGTTGTTTTTGTTTTGAGATTGATCAAAAACGTGAAGCAGTAAAATTTCTTGAAATAATGCGACGTGCTTTACGTAAAAAAATTTGTTCGTATTGTTTTATTATTTTTTTAAATATCTTCTCATTGCATGTTTTATTATATTTAGTTGCTGGTGCATGTGATTTAATACGTGCTCGTGTACCAATTCTTCGATTTACTGATTATGCAACGTAGGAAATATTTTCTTTGATATTATGCTGAGATTTCTCTTTTTATTATTCTTTTTTCAGTCGATTAAGATGTGATGTAAACATTAATAATATAACTGGCATTCGAAATACAGATTTATTACGTTTCTATGCTGAAACAGATCAACGAGTAGCACCGCTTGGTTAGTTCTGAAATTTCTTTCTTTTTTTGTTGATAATGTCAAGAAACTTTTTGAAGTAGGAATAATGTTTTGAATAGTCTATAACGTTTCCTATTTTTGAAATCTTCATAAAAAGAAAATAGTTGTCGAAAACGATTTCTAATGAAATGATTTTCTCAAAACTCACTTTAACGTATGCTGTATTAAGAGAGAACTTCATGAACTATCAAAATCATTGTTTGCATTTAAGAAGACTTCCCCTTTCTCGACTGAAAATTTTTGGATATTTCATTTTCGTTTCTTCTTTATATATGGTTACACATATCCTTTATCAGCTGAACCTATTTTAATAGTTAATGTATAACTATGATAGTCAAAAAAACTGGAAAATATGGAACATTTTCGCCGTTTTTGAAAAACAAAACAATTGAAAATCGCTCTCGTTTTTCAACTATAGCACATCCGATCCAGCTAAAATTTTCGTCCACTTATACTAGAACGTATTTAGAATACCTATCTTTGTTTTCTTTCAAAATATGATGTATCACTAGTTTTTTTCATAGTTTACAAAAAACGAACGAACATGCATTTTTTTGAGGATACTCCTCGGATATTGGTATTTTTATTCGAACGGTAGGAGTTGCAAAAAAACTAGACAACCTGAACAATATCTACTAGTTTCTGTACAAAATATTTAACCCCATCAGATCTTCTACTGGAAAACATTCGAAAAATTTTGAATCTATAACAATATTCACTCTACTCATCGAGATCTATCTATCGTAAAAATTTCAAGATTATCTGATGAGTTGTTCTCGAAAAATATCGAACAGAATAGGAGCCGCTCGTGTTAATTACTTCACGTTATAAAAACTATCTTGTTCTTAAAATTCTAATCAATATAATGTAATTATGTGTTCTGTTCTTTTTAGTCTTAACTCTCAAAGCTTGGGCAAAATTTCATAATGTACGGCAAGCAAAAATAAATTATTATTCTATTCGCATAAAAATGTGTTTTACTTTTTTCGTATTAGATTAATGATGCCAGTCAGAAAACATTATCAAGTTATTCTCTTACATTAATGTGTCTTTTTTATTTACAGGGTATTTCATTATTGACTTTTATTTTGGTTTGCCTTTTTGTTTTTTACTATTCTCGCTTATTTTAGCTATTGCACAACCACCAGTTGTACCTGTTTGGCAGACACTCTTATCGGTATGTTGAATAGAATTTATAAAAATTCTTTTTTCTTTCAAAAAAAAAAACATTCCTTCATTTTCTCTATTTAAGGATCGTTTTGATGTCAATATTCCTGTTGCACATTTAAAACGTAATGATCAACCAAAATTAATATGGAGATCAGATAATCATCAAACACTTGGTGAATTATTTACTGGATTTTTAAGATTTTTTGCTAAAGATTTTCGGTAAAAAAAAACAAACTTTTAAAATATATTTATTCTAAATTTATAATTATATGTATATAGATATGAAAAACATGCTATTAGTGTTCGAATGGGTTGTTTAATCGATAAAGATGATTTTTTAGATAATGATACGACAAACTATGGACATGCTCTATTAGCTATTGAAGGTAATAGAAAATGAATTAGAAAAAAAACAAAATTTTGTTTTTTTCTTTTAGAACCATTTGATTTAACCAATACAGCTCGATCTGTTTATGATGATGATGAATTTGAACGTATAGTTCGTGTATTTCGTCGAAGTTATTATACGATTGATAAAACAAAATCATTTTCTTCAATTCTTACAGAACAATTTAAATAATATACATACATTTTTTTTTGTTATATTCTTTTGCTCAGGAGTTCGTGTTCTATTTCAATGGACATGAAGTTCTTACGAAATTAAAGTGTGTTGTTTTTGGTTTCCTTTTTTTATATCATGTTTATTGAACTATAAAAGAGAACATACAGATGAACGAAACAAAAAAAAAACAAATTACAAAGCGAGAAAAATTTGTTCAGAAAAACATCTAAATAAAAGAAATATTTAAACTATGAATGACATCACAGAACAGCACTGTAAGATTAAAATAAAATAGACAGACCCCTAAAAAGTAAGATTAATAATAAAAAGACAAATTTATACGAATAAAAAATGTGTATAACACAAAATTAGAGGAATGCACATCTACTAAGAAGCTAATTTCTATGAATATTTATACATAACTATCACCACCTTCACCACTACGTTTTGATGATGGAATTGGTGGAGGTGGCCTAAATGGTGCACGATTTTTAGGAATAACATAAGGAATATTTGATTCAGTTGTTGAATGTGTTGGAGTATTCTTATTTGGTTGATTTAATGGTATCAATTTATCAGACAAATTAGCAGCAATTGTTCGTTGTTGATTATTTGTATTTGGTTTTATTGGTGTTAAATATGAGTCATTTCTTTGTTCAGCATAATCTTTATCTGATTGAGATAAATATGTATGAGATGTATTATCACTTGCTGTTGGATAATAATCAGTTGTTGATGTTGAACGATATGTAACATCATCATTATGAGAAGAATTAAATGGAATATTATTATCATCATCAAATGTTGGTAATTCACTTACACCTTGATCGTCACCAAAAAGAAAAACATTCTCATCTGTAGCATTTTCTTCTTGATAACGATTATATTCAGTTCGATAATACTATTGAGAATAACAAACAAAAAAAGAGAAGAAGAAAATTATTTTGATATAAAATAAAAATAGACTTAATCAAAAAACATACTTCAAAAGCTTGTTTTGATAACATCTTTGAATGACATAAAAGAGCACGAATTCGTATCATTTCTGGTCGACGATTTTCATCAACTAGACATTCTCGAATAATAGCATAACTATATGACAAAACAAAAGAATCAAACAATGAAATAGTTTTTACAAACGAAACATAGAAACATATTTTTTAATGCTCACAAGGAAAATCTTTGAACTGATTAATTGCTTTTGAGTTAAGGCTGTGTGCATCATGTGGATCCTAATGAGGTATGGATATTTTGAGAAAAGCTCGGGCTCTTCACTTATTGTTATCAAGCTATTGCATTTTTATGGTATTTTTTTAAGTAAAAGCGATGGTTCCTCTCAAAAATCCTAGAAAACTTATTTTCGAATTTCGACTTGAAACTTTCCATAAGGACAGAATTTAATGAAAATAATTTATTGTGAAAATTTCAGATCATTTTGTTGTTCCTATCCTGAGATATAGCTATGATAAAAGCTTGTCTTTTACATTGTTCATATACATAAACAGATCTAATGTTCTTAGTTAAGAAAAAGAGCAAATCAAAAGACCTGAAACTTTCACAATGAACTATTCTCGTTAAGTCGTGTCTCTGTGAAAAGTTTCAAGTCGAAATTCTAAAATTAATTTTCTTAATGTTCTTGACGGATACCACGGTACTGACTGAAAAAGTACTGTAAAAATGCAGTATCTCAGTAGCAATAAGCTAAGCACTCGAACTGTTTCAGGATATTCATAACTCATTAGGATCTACATGATGCACATAGTTCTGACTCAAAAAACGATTAATCAATTCAGAGAAGAACCTTATCAGTCAAAAATGTCACTGTCATTTCTTAATAATATGAATAGAATTCGTGATGACCGATATGGTAAGAAAAAAGTTATGTATAGATTCGAAGTAAAAAAACAAAAGAATAAATCTTATTTAAAAAGCTCTATCATTTTTACTATCTTTCAGTTATTGTTATCGTTTATTTATTCTCATAACTTTACAGATTTAATCAAAGTACAAGAACAGCTTGAATAATCGGTATTCACAGATATTTTTGCATTATTATCCATTCAAACACGCGATGTACGTTTAAACAAAAAGTATGAAAATTGTATATCTCTCTGAAAACGTAAGCATTCATCGAAATACTTGAGCAAGTAAAAGAATATTATTGAGAAAGAATGTAGAAAAAATAATTATGACAGTAATAAAGAAATATGAGTAAACAATGAAAGAGAATAAAAAATCCTTTGTTTAAAAAAAAAAGAATCTATTAGTTCTCGAAAACGATCAATATCTTATAACTTATGTTGATCGAAGATAAGTTGAATTTTTCTCTTGATCTGAATCAACCAAGAGATAAAATATCAAACTATCTTATTAATTCAATAGATGAATTGATCATCAGTATTAAAATAAGAATCTCAACTTTAATATCATACTTGTTCTTTATCATATCTAATGTTTCAATTTAGTTAGTCAATATTTTCTATGCAATATTAATTTCGAAATATTCTTCAATATTATTGATATCACTATAGGTGTTCATTACAAGGTCTCTCCGAATATCAAGCTGATTGAAAAACATATATCACTTATCGTGAACAAGATAAAAATAAATCATTTTATAAGATTTTTCGTTTTTTTCAGAGACTATTAATCTTAATATCAAGATTTACAATATACTTCCACTATCCTTCAAATTCTTTTTTTGTTCTGACTTCAAATAAACTAATTCATATTAAAATTATTATATCAAATAAACAAAAATATTTCAGTTAAAAATTAAATTTTAATCTTAATTATGAATAAATGCTTACATTTTACGTGGAATTTCTGGTTGATAATCAAGATATTTTAAAACACGACCTTCACTAACAACACGAGCAAGTCGATGAAAAAATGTTTCACCATCAGATTTATTTTCCATTTCTTCCAAAAGTTTATTAAATGGTCGAATTCGACCTTAAAAAAAAACCAAACAATCAATTGATATAACAAAAAGAAAAACCAATAGAAAATAAAACACTTACATTTAAGAAATAATGTCCAAAGAAATATTCCAAATGACCATCTATTAATTGAATTAATACATTTAGAAAAATCAATATAACAAAAACAAAGAGATTCACTTACACATCAGATTTTATTGATGATTTATTAAGTAAAATACGTTCATCAGGAGTTGATGCACGTAAAATAGCTCGAGCAAGTTCTGGTGTTAAATTATGTGTTGCTAATTCATTCTACAAATAAAAAATCTTAATATTTTAAAATGACTTTCTTCTTCTACAAAAACATACATTTTTCTTTTGAAGTTGTACACTATCATTTTGTGCAAGTTGTTCACGATAATTTTTATATGTTGTCCATGTTGCCAAACTAAAATAAAAATATATCTTTAAAAACTCAAAAAAAAAGAAAAAGAAAACCTATTTACCCAAAATCACATATTTTCATAATAAATCTTGCACTAACTAAAACATTTCTTGCAGCAATATCACAATGAGCTATTTGTTTTCTATTTAAATAATCAACACCACAAGCAACTTGATATGCAGCTAATATTAAATCATCATCTGTTAATATACATGAATCATGTGCTTGTGTAATAGTCATTCCTGGTCCGTTTTGTTTAGCAAGTGCTTCATATAATGATAATTTTTTATTTGATATATTTGATGATGGTTGAAGAAAACGTTTAACCATTGATTCAAGTGAACCATTTGAACATAATTCCATTAAATAAAATGAATCTTCATCACGTATAAGTCCACCTGTTATTAAATATTTAAATTTTGTTTCTGGATATGCAACTTTAAGTAATGAAACAATATTAACATGTTTACCAGCTTTATACATAACTTTAATTTCATCAATTAACATTTCAGCTGCTTTTTTCTTTTGTAATTCATGTTTTTTTGAAATCATTTCTTGACTTTCTTCACTATCATCACCTTTTTTACGTTTATCACGACGACGTTCAATATTACGTATAGATTCTGGTAATAATTTTGCAGCAACAAGACCAACTTCTGGTAAGCGTACTTGATAAACAATACCATATTGACCATGACCAAGTTCTTTGAAATCATCTTTTACTACAGGTGTTATATCACCATTAACATAACCAAGTAAGGTACGAACTTGTTGTGTTGATGCAAAATTATCTGGTAATCGTATACGTGTTAATTGTGTCATGGGTGGTTGAGATTTATCTTCAGGTTCATCTGGTTGTTGCGCATGAAATATACTTGTATCAACAATTTTTTTCATTTTAAAATATTTTACAGCTAGAATGATAAGTAAAATAAGTAGAATAAGTATTAAACAAGCAGATAATATTATAAATATGGCTATGAATCGACGAAACCTTGAATGTAAATATGGAGCTAAATATCAGAAAAGAATGTATAATTAAAAAAGAATTCATGATTTTTTTTTTCTTTTTCTTTTACTTTTAACACGTAAATCAAAACTTCGACGTAAAGACGAATCACGACCATTAGTTAATTCACATGTATAATAACCAGTGTCAGAAGCTTGAACACGAGTAATATGAATACTAAAAAAAATAATGAAGTACTCCAAGGTTCCGTTAAGTTTGAGTATTTCTGAAAATATTTTCTTTAGGATTACTTCTACTTCCTTTTATTAATTGATTGGCATAATCGCGGCTAAGGACGAACCTGAATGTTCAGGTTCAGTGCATGCCTATGCTATGATCTACATGAATGGTCTTCTGGACTATGAAATCTTCCCCTCCCCCCCCCCAAAAAAAACCAGAAACAATTTTTCAAAAGTTTTATGAATTTTGTTCAATAGGTCAAATTTATTTCAAAAATAAATAATTGTCAATGCTTTGAATTGAATTCTCAATACTTTATATATGTAATGAAATTATTCTTTTAGTAAAGTTATTTCACGAATCAATTTATGAATATTCAATTTATTTTGTAATAAAAAATTGATTATCTTTTTAAATAATCACTCAACTTGATTAAATTTAATCAATTTAATTTTCCTGAATATTCTCTTTTGTTTTTTTTAATAATAAAACTAAAATTCTCTGAATGAATAATCAAATTCATTTTTACCTTCCATTATTATCACGAATTTGTAATGTTGAATCATCATTTGATAATGGTAATTTTCCTTTCAACCACTTAATTTTTGGTTGTGGTCGTCCATCATATAAACAATCAAATTCAACATTAGTACCTGCTTTTCGTTCAATTTTTTCAACTGTTTGTAAATTATTTTTAAATCTTAATGGTACAGGATCTTTAAAATAATAAAACATTCATAAAAATTATACAAAAGAAAAAAAAAATTTCTTTAGATTTTACCATCTACATGAATTATATATGTATCATTTATATTCGGAACAACATCCGGTCGTTTAGATGAAGCCATACATTGAAGAAAACCATTTTTACCAATTTTTCTTAATGGTGATGTTTCTACTTCAATAATTGTATCTCGAATATGTTCACTAATATTTTAAAAATAAATAAATAAATCAAAATTATATAAAAAATAATATAAGATAGCAAAAAAGAAACGAAACCTTGTTGGTGTTAACCATTTAATATCAGTTTGTTTCGGTTGATTAGTTTCCAATGAACGCCATTCAGCATCAAAACGATTTCTTTTATATGTAAATAAACCGTCATCATAAATTATTCGAAGATCATCATAAATCAAATCATGACTTTCACATCTATATGTTAAAGTATCTCCAGTAACTAAACTAAATTCTGGTTTACGTACAGTAAACATATTACGATTACCTTAAATTAAAAAAAAAGAGAAAGATTTCGTATTCGTCTTAATTGTTTTTCTCTTACGTGCTAATGCTGTTAATGATTTTGCAAGCATAATTAATCCATTTTGTTCATAACAACAAATATATTGATGACCAATTGATGGATTATCAATAATTTGTGATTCAATACTAACAAATTCTGTTTGAAAATTATTTATACGATTTGCTTTTGTCAGTAATAAACGTGGATTAGATGATGATTTACATGTTCTATCAATAATATCTGATAAACAATTTTCTATTGAACATTGAATATCATGAATAAATACATTTAATGGTCGTGCTATATCAGCACGATGACGAACTGTACAAACAATACGATATGATTCGCGTTCATATATACCATATGAATAAATATTTAATTTATTTTTTTCATATTCATCACGCCATGGAATTATACGTGGAATATCATTTGATATAAAAGAAAATTGACCAACAGGATTACCAGTTACATTTGGTTTAATAATTTTAGTTTTTTCTGATGCAGAAGATTTTGCAGTAATTTTTATATCTGTTTCATCTTCGAATGTAATATTATAAATAGTTAATGTATATTCATAATATTGATTTTCATTATCAGATCTTAATAAAGAGAAGAAAAAAAAAAGAAAATCAGAATAATTCTATAGAAATAAGATTGTAATTTGTTTTTTTATAACAACATTCATGCAATGGAAGACTACTGGAAACAGAAAACCCATGCAAATACCTGCTATCTATCTGTGAATATATATAAGAAGAAGAAGAAGTATATATGAATGTAAACTAATTTTCATTTCATCTGTATATATATATACATATATATATATATAATTTAAAAATACTTACGCAAGTTTTAATTCAAATCGTTTATCATTTGCTAATGATAATCCATTACGTGTTATTTCAATTAGAATCTTTGAACGTGGAACGGTAAAAATACTTATTTCATAACTACTATGTGAACCATAAGATACTTCATCAGGAGTATCTGATACAGGTGAAGTAATTTCAAGATCAAGTGATGGTTCTTAAAAGAAAAAAAACAACGATTGATTTTTTTTTAAATATAATTTTTATATTTATAATAATAATAACATACTATCAACACATGTAATATCAACAGAACGTGAGTAAACTCCTTGTTCAGATACACGTACACAATAAAATCGATAAGTTTGATTTAGTTTAAAACCACGAAGTGTTATTGAACTATTTTGACTATAAATTTGTGTAAAAACATTAAATGAAGGTTTTTCAGTTTCATTTGCTATGAGATTAAGCTATAAAATAAATAAATAATTTAAGTATAAAATTATAATAATTAATAGAAAAATAAATTTACATTATGAATATCTTCAAACCAAAAAATATTTGGTTTTTTTCGACCAACTTTTGTTCCATATTGAATTTCACAATTTAATCTTAAGATTTCATCAGGCACTATACTTAAACTTGGTTGATGTATTTGAACATAATCAGCTAAAATAAAATTTTAAATATAAAAATATTTTTATGCATAATTAATCATACGATCGAATGAATCAAATGGAATTTTTGATATTTGATTTGGTGCATAATCACTCTTACAAATAAATTCAGTTAATGTTTTTGGTATTGTTGGATTTTCTAATGCAAAACCAATTTGTGGATCAAAAAATACTTTCTAGACAGAAAAAAAAACATCGATTAATTAATTCTTAGTTGTTCATTTAAATGTTATTCAAACGAACCGATGATTGTAAATCGGATGGTGTATAATAAACAGGAATACATATATCTTGTCCATCACATATAGGTGTATTACATTTAAGTTCATTAACTTGACGTTCTTTTGAATTACATTCACGTAATTTACATCGTCTTGAATCGGTTGACATTGGACATGACATTCGTGGATACCAACTTGTTGCTTGACATGGTAAATTAAAAAAATGAATACCTGTGTGTTGAAAAACTTTCGGATAAAGTGTTTTAGTAAATACAGAAGTTCCATCTAAAATAAAAAATTGTTAGTGGATTTTTGTTTTTGATATGGAGAAATATTATATACCTTGAATAAATACATGAGCAGATGTTTCAGATCGTTTATCATTAATTATTTCTAAACATGTATAACGTCCAACAAGTTCTGGACGAAGTTGATTTCTTCTTAATGTAGCAGTGATGGTATAAGAATCATAATTCATATTAAGTGACAAATGCTATAAGAAAAAAAATGATAATTTTAATTATTTCGAAAAAATTTATTTTGATTAATTTTAGTTTTCATAGTAAAATTGATTATTTTTGTATTTCAAATTACTTCAACTTACATCTATTGCTGTTGTTGGAACAGTAAAATTTATTGAATTTTTCGATCCTTTACATTTTAAAAAAAATGGTAATCGATCTTTTAATGCATCAGCATGAAATTGAATTTCTCGTGGAATAATATAATATCGAAAAATTGGATCAATTGAATTAATATCCGTACGTATTCGTTCTACAATATGTTGATTAGCTGGATATTCAATTTGAACACCTTTAAATTAAATAGAAAACTTAATATAAATCAAAATAAATTTATTTGTTTCTTTTTTTACTTTCAGTTTGATAATATGATAAGTATATAATAATTAGTAATATTCGTAACATGATCAGGAGAAATAAACTATCAAAACAAAATAATACAGAATATTGAAAAAAAAACCACTTTCTCCCGTTCTTATATGGAGGAGGAATGAGTCATTCATTTGATAGATGTTGCAAATAAGCAGAGAAACATATTTTTGCTGACATCTAGTGACCTTTATAATTATTCGTTTGTATAACACAGTATGCCGAATATCTATCATTGATAAAAGAAGAAATTATAATTCTTTCGTCTTCATTTTTTTTTCTTTTATCTTAATTTTTAAATATCAACAAAAAGAGATCGAAAATAAAAATGGTTTATCTCGTTCTATTAGAACAATTAACACGAAGAAAACTTTTAATTTTTCTTATTTGTTTATTAATTATTCAAATAATTTATTTTCTTATTGGTGGTCTCACTGGTTTGTATTTAAAAAACAAAATGTTGATTATTGATTTTTATATGCTAAATTGAGTTTTTATTTTGCCAGGAGCAAAACCAACAAATGTAAAAAATCCTGAATTTACATTATGTCCATATCATGCAGATCATCAATGGATTTATCTTCATCCAGAAGGAATTTGTAATGAAGTTGATCTCAGTTTTCAAGCTGTATGATTGAATTTAAATAATAACAAAAAAAAAAACAAATTTCTATTTATTTATTTTTTCCTATAGAAAAAAACTTGGAAAGATTTTGTTTTTGTTATTCAATTACCACGTATTACACGATGGTTTCAAACATTAACATCATTTATTGTACCACAAATTGAATATGATTCACGAGTTAATTTAAGTAAGTTTAGTCTTTTATTTATTCTTTTTTTTGAATTATGAATTTCATTTGTTTTTTAAAGGTTCAAATGCAATCTTAACATATGATGTTCGTCTTGGTTATAAAACTGATGAAATGTATAAAGATTCTAATTCGGAATGGAAATTAGAAATTAAATCACGTGAATCTCGTTCAATACAATGTCAACCAAGATATCATTATGGCATTGAAAACAAAGTATTGTTTATTTTTAATCTATTTGACAAAACAAAAGCAAAAATCTATATGTATTTCTTTTATTCAGAATATACCCGATGGATATACATGTGAACCATTAGCTTTTTTTGAACTATCTACATTGAAATATTCATATTATTTAATTAATTTACAAATTGTTGATGAAAATGGTCTATCGCAAAATATTGGTAAACTTAAATCATTTATATTTGTTGTTAGTATTAATTATTAGTATTAATTTTTTTTTTAAAAATCATATATTTATATTTAGGTTATTCATCAAACAGAAACTTTTACAAAAGTATGGTTTATATTGAAAACAATAACATTTCCAATTGTTCTTGCTGCTCTTATTTGGTTTTGTCGACAAATGAAACGTGCACAAAAAAAATATTCTAATCTTGACAAGTAAACTTTTTGATTGAAGTGAAAAAAAACATATCAGACAGAAACTCAAAAAGAATATGTGAGATAATACAAGATATTGATAAGATTAGATATCAAGTTTCAAAAGTACATATCTTGAGTTTTATTTTATCATATCAAAAAGTATTTAGAATTTACATATCGTTGAATGCATGAATTAATGTTTTAGACAGAAAAGTGATGAGATGTGCGGTATCGAAATGCAGATATTTGCCCGAACCGAGACTACAACAAAGAGAAGTGGCTAAGATCAGAATCGGAGCTACGACAAAAAACTTGTTTCAACTGGAACTAAAGATTATAGTTAAGTATTCCATAGTTTTAAGTGAATTATCTCATAAATCATCGATCAGAACATTGTTCAAGAGAGACGACCCAAAAAAAGTGCTAGTCGTAGTCTAAATAAATAAAAATCTAGATTAAGACTGAAACCAAAAAATCTTGATCGCGCATATTTCACACAGTTAGACCAATTCGTAGTATCATCGATATGTCATTAATATCTTGCAGACGGGCACAACTCTAAACTACAAGATAGTACAATTTCATCTGTATATTATCATATTGAACCGTTTATTGTTTGAATATTAAGCAACTAATGATTCAAATATTGTTTTAGATATACATGAGGCTTTAATCTGATCAATACAGTTAAGAAGTTCTGTCATACTAGAGCAGAAGAAGATAAACAAAATCATTTGTTTTTAGATGAAATAGAATATCTTTCGTCTATTCTATCAGTATTTATATGTATCGATAGATTTTGATGAAGAATCATAAATGAATGTTCTATAAGTGCTCAAATCGAACAATGTTTTAAACATTCTTTATTTACTCTTTATCTTAGAATATTCACCGACGTGAAAATTGAAATAAACATAATTGAAAAAATCGAATTATGTGATCCGCAACTAATTCTATGTTATCTATAGAGAACTTTATGATCTATTGATTGCTAAAAGAAAATATTATTTTGCTTTATTGTGTTGCCTCTGACAAATCAGGCGTACAAAATTGATAAATTTCGAAAAAGAGAATTTTCCTTATAAGTTTTGCCTATTTGCAAGCCAAGGATATCCCGAATAAGTTTTGTGTGATACGTAACGACGAACATGTTTACTAGGAAATGAAGTGTGTTTCACAAGTTTTCGAGTAGCTTGGCAAATAAGAGATACTAAGCAATTGAATGAACCCTGTAGCGTTCATCGAGAGGTTAAAGAAGGAATGATATATGGATATATCATGCATATTTACTTTGTAAATTTTATCACATTAGAAGTGAAACAAAATATTTATCGCTGATAAAATGGCTTCCTTTATTACTTAGTGACTAAAGTATTATACGGATCAAAAAAATAATAGACGCTATTCTTGTCTACTCAAAACTATCATTCTAGAGAAGAAAAGTACAAGTTTTTAAATCATTCCTTAACGAAGCGTAGAATGGAAAATCATCTATTCATAATTCATTAACATTTTCTTGAAAATATAAGACAAAATATTAATATTTTATTTAGATTATTATTCTTACTTGGCCTATCAGCATGTATACTTAATGGTTAGTCTTATCTAAATACTTGTATAATCTACATATGATAAAATTTATCTATTTTTAGCTCCTGTAGAATGGTTAACACTTATAATACCTTTCAATGGTTTTCAAATCTATAGTGAAATTCGACAAGGATTTTTTCTTACTGTTCTTTTAACATTTTGGCTTTTTTTTGCTGGTGAACATATTATTGTAAGTAGTTCTATTTATTTTCAATAATTAATATATTGATCATATTTATGTAGGATAAAAGTGCTCATCATAGTTTTTGGTCATATGGAAAATATATTGTTTTACTTTGGTTTGCTTCAAGTATTTTACTCATTTTTGAATTATGTCAAAGGTAGATAAGGAAAAAACAAAGAAAACAAATATTTAATTTATTTTTCTTTCTTTTAGAGGATATCAACTTTGGAATCCATTTTATTCAATATGGTCAACACGTACTGGTCGTAATGCAAGTTTAATATTTCTTATACTTGCTGGTTTATCTAGTTTTATCTATATTATTTGTCTTATTATTCTTGTTGTACGTGTTTTTTGGAATATTCGTAGTAAACAAGGTGAACTTACTGCCATGCGTCGTATTCGACGTTTGATGTATCAGGTTTGATAAAAATGAAAATGAGAAAAAAAAAACAAATATGAATTCTTGATTTTTTTGTTTTTAATCTGAAGGGAGCATTTTATCGATTTCAATTTTTATTATTAACAACAATACTTTGTGCTGTACTTACAATTGTTTGGTATTATTTAAGTCAAATTTATGAAACAGATTGGGTTTGGAATAAAGATAAACCATCGAAAATTCAATATTCAGGAGCATATATAACTGGTGAGAAAAAAAAAAGATTTTATTTATTTATTTTAATTTTTATTTCTAGGAATTTATGGTATGTTGAATATATATGTTTTTGCTGTTTTGATTCTTTTTTCACCAGTAATCTCACATGTTGATGATATGGATGAATTAAGTAAGTAGAAAAATAATAAATTCAAAAGGAAAATGAAATAAATTTTTATTTATTTATTTATTTATTTTAGCATTGACTAATGATGATGGAAATGTTATGCATCTAACTAATAATCAAACATCAGCTTATGAAATGATTAGTAAAGCATCTATTAGTTAAAAGTATTTTTGGTCATATACAACAATAAAGTCAGATAATTATTTGTAAACAAAAAAACTCAAGAATCTTACAAGTTTTTTTTGTCTATTAAAGATCTTTGTCTTTTTTTTGTACTAATCTTATGTGTATAAAATATTCATATAGATTTTGTTAATATTATTAAAAAAATATTCATATATGATGTTAATGCTTTTGTTATTTTGTCTTCATAATTCTAAATTTTAAGAATTATTACAAGAAAAAAAAAAATTAAATAGTTTCTTTTTATGGAAGAAGTCGAAAGATTTATTTGGATCAAGCAATGGATTTATTGGGATTTGAGAAAACATTTTCATTCTATTAAAAGAGAATTATTTCTCGGCGGCGAATAAGAAATATTTTATCAGAATGAACTGTAGTGAAATGTTCTTTTTTTATATAAAAACAAAAAATATATCAAAAATGATTATATCAATATAAAAGTCTTCTATTCTGATATCCAGACGAAATATGAAAGTTACCATATTTTTATTGATTATAAAAATCTACCAATTTTATCTAAAACCAATCTACTTTATTACTATAAAAAATTATGACATTATTTATGAGTAATTTTTGTATGAACTCTTTCTGCATATATATATATATATATATACATCTATCGGTTTTTTTTGTTCTTAAAGATAATGAATGATACCAGTGGTGCTCCTATAGCCATTGATGACGAGCTTTATCCAGCTCTTATTCAATGTTTCTTTATAATTGGCACCGGTTATGTTGCTGGTCAATTAAATCTATTAACAAATACACATTCAATAGGTCTTTCACGTTATGTAAGTAATTTTGCATTACCAGCTGTAGTATTTAAAAATCTCTTTGAAGTACAATTTGAAAAAGTATCATGGGAATTTATAGCATCTGTATTTATTGCTAAAACAATTGTTTTTCTTTTGACAACAATTTTAACTGGTATAGGTGAACGTCCAAGAAATTTTGCAAGTATGGGTTTATATGCAATAATGTCATCACAAAGTAATGATTTTGCATTAATGTTACCAATAATTGATGCTGTTTATAAACAATCACATCCAGATTATGGACGTTATATTTATTTAATAGCACCAATATCTTTAGTTATACTTAATCCAATTGGTTTTCTTCTTATTGAAATACAAAAACGTTTAGATGATCAAAAAAAATATCGAAAAATATCTGTATGGTATCGTTGTGAATTAATACGAAAATTATTTCATAATATATGTCGTAATCCAATTGTTATATGTACATTACTTGGTATTATATTTAATCGAATATTTCAACAAAATATACCATGTATACTTGAACATATATTAACACCAATAGCACAATCATTTAGTTCAACAGCATTATTTTATCTTGGTTTAACAATGGCTGGTAAATTACGTCGTCTTCATACACATCTTGTTATTACGGTACTTGTTATTAGTATGATTAAATTAATTATATTTCCATTAGTATTACGTGAAGCCGTATTTTTACTAGTTAAACCAACTAATGGAACTTTAAATAATACAATTGATTATTCAAATTTTGGTTTTCTATATGGAACAGCACCAACTGCACCATCAGTTATATTTTATGTACCAGAATCAAATGCTGCATTACGAGCTATTGCTTCAACAGGTCTTATTATTTCAACTTTACTTGCTGGACCAATAATGCTTGTTTCAGCTAAAATGATTAATTTAAAAACATTAGATATCAAACTAAAACAATCATATGAATCAGCATTAGTTAAAACATCATATGATGTTAGTATTATATCATTATTTTGTACAATTATTGTTCTTATTGGATTTTATTTACGACGACGTTTATTAAAAATCTCACCTATTCATAAATATACATTTATTTTTGCTGGTCTTCAAATGATACATGCAATATGGACAATAGGGATTCAATATATAAAATTACCAATATCGCTTATGGCTTCAACAGTAGTTGATCTAGGTAAAAGAATTTAGATTAAGTTTTATTTAAAAAAAAAATAAACATTTTTCTTTTCTTATTTTTTCATAAAGATTCAAATTAACATGTAATAATAGTGCAAGACATTTATCAAAGTAGATACATATTTCGAATAGAATCTTTAAATATTTTTATTTGTTTTGACATGTTCTCAAAATGAACTTTTCTTTTGTATTCTGTTTAAATGATTTGTAGAAGCGAATAAATAAGAATTATGAATAAACATTGAAAAACATTATTTAATTATATGATTTTTCTAAACACTTGTACTATTCGAGAAGATTTTGATAAAATGGATATACAGTAGAGTCCGTCGGATTGGTCCCGAATCTAGATCCGATGAGTTTTAGTCATCTGAGAAATGTGTACGATGCGTTGGTCACCGAATACAAAAAAAAATCGGAAAAAAACTATCTCGTATCTTCGGAGCGACTATCCAATTTTGATTAGAAAATTTCATCGAAAGTATTAAAGTACGATTCGATCATGTTTGGGTTCGCAAATTTTGTATTCGACGAACCCTAGTATACAGAATAGATAGTTTTAAAAAAAATTTCATTAAATGTATAGATAATTTCATTGATTATCGCAATGCATACATCAAAACTGATTGATTCTAAGATATCAGAGGACTTCCGCATGATATCGAGTATTAAATTTGCTGTTTTTTTTCTGTACATATTTTCTTGAATTGAAGTTCTATTTACCTTCAGACACAAATAAATTATATCATGTACAATGTCCTATTTATTTCAGGTAGTATTCTAACAGCTCTAACAACACGTTCTTGGGCAACAAGTATTTCGATTGCTGTAATGATATCAATCTGTTATTCAAATGAACGTGCTCGTCAATATTATTGGTTGTATCATTCATTCGGTTGGCTTGTACCAATATTTACAACTTTTATAATTTTTTTTCGATCAACAATTGATAGATCAAAAGGTGAACCACCACTAGATACACAAAAATTTGGAGAAACACAAGTTATTGCTTCAATTTGTTTACTTGCTGTATGTGTAGTACTTACTTCAGCAAATCTTCTTCGTATTGCTCGTCGTACATATCGATTAAAACAAAATGCACGTGAAAATTTTACAATAACTGAAAGTCGACCATTAATTAATGATGAACACGAATATGATCAAAGTCAATCAACACAGCAATCAGTTTCTATGGGTATTTAATTATATTATTTTTATTGACCAGATATATATATATATATATATATGTTAACGTACAATATTGGATTGAGGGAAAAACTGATGTTAAAACTCGGACTAGTTTGTAGGTCGAGTTTTAATATCAGTTTCCTTCTCAATCCAATATTGAATGTAATCTCAGTTTGGACGCTAACATATGTATATATATATATATATATAGATATTAGTGTAGATCAAAGACCATTAGAAGTGCATACACAATTACTTCGTCATGCAGTGCTTGTTGGTTTATTGAATATAAATGCATTTGTTGTAAGTTAATTTTTTTAAATCAATAAAAATGTTTTTTTTTTTACTTTTTGTTTTAGTGTATATCAGTTTTATCATGGTCAGTATTGACAAAAAATCGTGATGGTATTTATTATGAATTACAATTTCTTGATACTGTTTTATTACATGGTCAAGTAAATATATAATTAAAATTTTTCTTGTCAATTTCTATAAGAATTTTTAACTTTAGGGTATTCTAACATTTCTTGTTTTTTCACTTGATGCTGATTTATTATTACCCATAACTCGAAAGTATGATTTACTAGGATAATAAATATATATATATGTATATATGTTTCTATTATAAATTTTTCATAGAATTATTAAATTATTGAATCTTTTTGGTTTAAAAATAAAATTTCCTCGAACTAATAGAAGTTATAGATCTTCAGAAAATGATCGACGACATAATTTTGAACATAAAATTCGACCGGATTTTACTCGACATTCAATATCAACACAAAGGTAAGAAAAAATTCTTCGAAAAAAAAAGAAAAATTAAATATTTTAATGTAAAACTTTTTTTTTTGTTTTAGTATAAACAGTTCTATGGAAACAATTGAAACAATATTTAATGAAAATGATTTTTCTCAATGGCTTATATCGAATGGTTATACAGAGAATGAATTAACAGCTCATCATTATTGTCAAGAATTAGCCAATAAAAAACAAATTATTTGTATTGATCGTATACAAAATGAAGAAATTCTAGATTCTAGTAATCATTGGTATGCTTTTACTAAATAAGATCAAACAAATAAAAGTTTAATTTTATTACTTTTCTTTTTAAATACTATTTCTATGTTTTGTAATTTTGTTTTTCGAAACCAGATGCGGTGAAATAATAATATATTCTTTTGTTTCATTTTATCTTGTTATACTATGATTTTTTTTTTGTATAAAATCGTTTATATATATTGTTTTTTCATTCCATGTAAATCAAAGACGATATACAGAAAAACTTGTCAACATGACGGAAAAAAAGTTTTTCTCTACATTTGATAAATTATCTATGTCGATTATGATAAATAAAGATGATGACATGTAGTGGTTCTTTGTTTTGATGACAGTTAACATAATTTAGCTAAATCAATATAAGAATAATATTTAGATCGAACAAGTACTGGATTCATATGACCAGTAAAACAGATGAAAAATATATATATAATAAACGAAGTCATTAGCAAAATTACAACATGGAGAAAATTATTTGAATAATATGACATGCACTTAGGTTAATGAATATGCGTGGGCATTTGTTTTTCATAATTTATATAGTCTGGAAGAAGAAACATTAAAGAAGAAGATTTAAAATCATTATTTAACTATTAAAATAACATGACCAGGTCATTATATTTGGATTTTGTAGAAGACAAATCTCAAAATTACATTATAATATATTTTCTGATTCTTATCTTTTGAATTATTATTATTTTAAAAATCAGCTGTTTTGTTCTATTTATTTAAAATTGACTAGATATCGGATGTACATTAGATTTATAACCATATCATACTGGTAACATTGTCTATGAAAGTCGATACATCTTCATTCTTTAAATAATATTCCATGTCGTAATACTAAAATCTTAAACAAACATAGTCATATGAAAAAATTTACTAAGCATAGATAGAGAGATTAAGTTAGATATTGAATTTGCAAAAGAATAAAGAAATAAAGAAATCTTTTATTTAATCTATAAACTAATACAAACTATTCCTAGTATTTGTAGTATGGATAATAGGCTTTGTGTAATATACAGATGTAATTTCATTGGATATTTATAATAAAAATGCTAATGAATAAGAAGTATATATCAACAAAGTATCAAGAAAAACATATTTGTTTTTTCAGGATATTAATAGATTCTTAATGGATTTTGATAAACAACAACGGAAAAACACTTTTTCTTTTCGATTCTTTGTCATCTTAATAGTTATTTTATCTAGTTCATATTGATATATCAAATTAATGTGCTATAATAATTGTTACTAATTGTTAATATCCTATAATGTACATATGGAAATATTGAAAAATATTTCTAGCATACATACTGTCAATTTGAAAATGATTAATATTCTTAGGGCAGAAAATAACTAAGCATAAGAAACAATATGTATATGTTTGACTTATTTTTGTAGGGTTTTTTAGATATCTTCTAATAGAAAAAATACTTGCAACAGATGAGAATATGATCATGAAAATAACAATACAGTATAAAGATATGCAAATGATGAAACTGTCACCAAGGCAAAATTTGATTGAGAGTAGGAGACAAAGAAATTATTTTAGAATCTAGTCCATAGAAAATATCGTCTGATAATGACAAAAATAATAATCTTTATTCACATTTCACAATTTAATCGTCAATTCAATTGAGTTCTGCACATACAACAGTTCTCAATGTGAATATTAATAATGAGTGTTATTTTTTGTTTTTTTTAAATGACAGTCATAAACTTTGTATGCATCATATGCACGTGCCATACAACAATGAGAAAGAGGAAAAAAATTGGCCTGAGACACCTAAATGTTTGTCTTTTTCTTCCCTTGTATACTTTTTTTAATAGGTTTTTTTACACATACATGAAAAAGGTTATCATGCTTTTACATTACCAAGGAAAACAATGAAGGCTCGATTATGCTTTCCATGCTTTCTCTTCGTTGTGTTTTATTGTTATTGTTGATCTATTAATAAATTTCTTTGTTTTATACATCAATATACATTGTACATTTGTCAGTAATTATTATATGAAAAGCATGTGTTTGTGTGCGTAGCAAAAATATAATCAAGTTGCATGTTTTTATTTTTTCATTATCTACACAATCATCTACCATAAAAAAATCCCAACCATTAACCTTAGCAAAGGTGCAATGCACTCTCATTTATTGAATAATTAACGGAAAAAAGAAATTGTCTTTTTTACTTGAAGACAAAAACAAGGAAGAAAAAGTGATTCATGACGAAGTATATATATATATATATATATATATATATAAATGTTATCAACAATTTTTTTATGTTCATCTATTTTAATGTATTCATAGAACTACTGGCGAAGTATCATATAATTATTCTATTTGAGTCTTGCTGAGTAAAAAAAAAGACAAGACAGGAAACAAATTAATTTTCTGGCTTTAACATTCCAATAACTGCATATGCACTTAAGGTAACACAAAGTTTGGAATAATCAGTTTTTCATGAGTAAAGAAAAAAACATTAATACTGATAAAGATAAAAATATACTGCTTATTATAAAATGCTCTAATACACCAGAATGCCAACAGCACTCACTATAATATGACAAAAGTAGCAGCTGCATCGTAATAAAGTAAGATTAGACACTAGTCTTCTTTTTCTTTATCTACGTCGGTAATGGTTAATCACGATATAAATCTTAATTAAAAAAAAATATTTCTATACGACCAAATACAGGATTTTTTATGACTTTTTAACATAAGTAAACATATAAAGCTATACAAGAGATACTTTTTATTGTTTTTCTTTCTCGAGACAAAATTCAATTCAATAAGAAATAATCTTCTATGATTAATTTACTTCTAATGAATCTTATATCTTCACAATAATATATATGCATAGTTGGCAAATATATTGTTATGAATAGATTTTCAACTTTTATCTTATTTCGCAGTATACGAATATTTTGTGTCATTGTTCTTTGTCTACTTTTCTTTTTGTTTCTCTCTCTCTCTCTTTCTCTTTATTCTTGTTCTCTTATTTTGCACGATGTGTGGCGCATATACGCATGTGTATTCTGTTGTGTTGCCATTATGTTTTGTATGCGTAACCGTCGTATATTTTAATAGCTGTCGTGTTTTTTACCTATTTCTTTTTTTTGTTAGTTACCTTCTTACCGTTCTGTTAAATGATTCGTAAGATATTCAGCGACAACTATTTATGTCAAATAGACACGTTTCGTATCAAATTTCATTATTTTAGATAAAAATCTATTTTCTTTTTTCACATTATACATGTTATTTTAATAACGATGGGTACTAAATCATCAAAACAAAATTTAAGAAGTGTGGTACCATTGAATAGACAAATGATTGAAGAACTTTGTCAAACTACTGGATTTACAGAAGATGAATTACAGGCTTGGCACGAGTAATTATTTTATATTGTTGTTTTTTTTTTTGTATATTTATCGATATTATTATTTGAATAAATAATTTCTTTTTTTTTTAAATGTAGAAATTTTTATAAAGATTGTCCAGATGGTAAATTAACATTGAAACAATTCGAACAAGAATACGCGAAGATAATGGGAAAACCGACACAAAAAACAGCTGATTATATTAGACATATGTTTAATGTTTATGATGAAGATAAAAGTCAATATATTGACTTTCGGTAAGAAAAGAAAATTTCTGATTCGTTTTAATTGTAGTTCAAATACGAAATTTTCGTTCTTTTTTTGCAGATAGTATGCATGTAAAGTTTTTAAAAAATATAGAAAAAGGATAATTTTTAATAATAATCATTAGAAAAGTCTAACGATTCATATTGAATAAATAATGACTTGTGTAATATGAACTTCTCAATAGGTATAAAGTCTCACACATGTATTGTTTTACCTTGACATTTAGATAAGCTTTTGGTAAATTGCCAGATGGGTTTAAATGGAAAGAGGAAAATATTTATATGCATAAGAAAGAGAAAAAAACAGGAAGAACTATTCTGGAGAATAATAGAAGTAATTAAAATTGATGATATTAGCATTTTCTCTATAGTTTAAATAGAATAATGCCATTGGAAAATCTCTGAAGTCGTTGTACTTAAGAATGACAGTAATAATAATCAAAGTTTATCATTGTTCGTATTAGAATCGTACGATAATTCATATTCATATAAATACTAACAATATTCAATTAAAACAATAAAGGTTTCCGACTCAATCTAATTTCCTAGCTAAACAGATTATTAAAATTATTATTTTTTTCTTTTTTTTTTTGTCTTTTGCCTTTATTTTCTATCGAGTCAGATTTTATATTTTGATCAATTCAATAAATAATTGATAAAAAATAAATTAATTGTCTTATTTTATTTAGAGAATTTGTAATGGCTTTATCAGCTGCATCGGCTGTTAATCGTCTTCGTCTTATTGAAACACTTTTTCATGTATTCGATTTAGATAATGATGGAAAAATAACAAAAGAAGAAATTGGTAAAATGTTACATGCACTTGTTGATGTAACAAATTCAAATAATAAACATCATAATAGTTCAGATCAACAAGAAGGAAGAAAACAAATTGGTTTACAACAACGTATTGATGATGCATTTAATGAATTAAATGCAAATAATGATGATCATATAACTAAAGATGAATTTATTGATTGGTATATGAAATCAGGTCTTATATCTGATGTACAATCAGAGGAACTTAATAATCCTGATAAATTACGTCTTCAAAAAATTGGTAAAAAATCTCGAAAAATATTAAAACATACAATACATCATAAATCAAGTAATGAACAAGAAGAAAATCGTACTCATAATTCACATCTTGTTCGTCATATATCAAAAATGACAGAACGAAATTTATCAAAATATAATGATAATGATGATAATGATAATGATTATTATAACAATCATAATAATAATAATAATAATAATAATAATAATAATAACCTAACAACCGCATCATCAATGAATTATCATCATGATAGTGATATTGATGATGAACGAACATTAAATAATACTACTATACATGTAAAATCAAGTTTGGATAATACAGATCAACATGGTTCAACAGAAAATGAACGATGGCAACATTTATTTAATTCTGTACTTGGACAAATACGTGCACAACGTCTTACAGATCAACAAACAAATGTAAATAAAACTAATAATATGCAATCACGAAAACGTGAAGGTGAAGAAAAACTTAAATCAGAAGATATGAGACAAAAAATAAATGGTCGAGAAAATCCTCCATATAAATCAACAGCAAATATTACATTACAACCACCAAGAAAAACAATAGATGAACGTCCACCATCTCCTGATATTGTTACTATTCGATTGTAACTAATGTCTTCCGTATTTGTTTATTGGTTTATTTTCTTTTTTTTTGTCTTCCAAAAGATTTTCAAAAAATAAACTATACTTGTGATATTAATGGACAACTATACTTGATGATATTTATTATGATTATTATTATTATTATTGGTTTTTTTTTTGTTGCGTATTACCTTGATAATTATTTTCTTATTTCTAGTTGTGTACACTTTTGTTTTCTTTTATATTTTACAAGTTGATTTCAAGAATAAATTCGTTTATAAATGGGTTTTGATAGAAAAATGAATAGAACATTTTTTTTTCTTCGTTGTTGAGGTAAACATATATAAAACCGAAAAAAAAAGTCAACATTTAAAATGAAAATTCGGAATAAATTAACTTGCACTTTATGCATCTTTTGTTTTTTTTCTCCCTTGTAAAAAGTGCTATAATAAGAATTCAAATTGCATTATTGACTTTCTCGTTAAATAGTAACAAGTTAATCATATCCGTTAATGATGTATAATAAGAAAAATATCGAATAATAATGTTTATTTAACATATTTCGATAGAATTATTTCTATAGAATAAATATTATTATTTCATGTTTTAGAAAGAATAACTACAACGATAATCTTAAAAACATCTTCTTTTTATTGGGCTCATTTTTCTTTTGGGAAATTTTTTAAACAGGACACAGTAAATATATGAATTAATTGACTAAAAAGATACTGTGTTGATTGAAATTTCATTAAATTTAACTTTTAAATTTTCTTGTTTTATTATTAGATTTGGACAGTATATGCATTTTTGAAATAGAAGATCATAAAAAATTTTTGAAATAGAAGCTCGTAAAAAAACATTTGAAATAGAAGATTGTAAAAAATTTTAGCAAATCTTATGGGAACATAAATAATTGAGCTCTTTTATGTTTCACTTAAATCTATGAATGAAGAAATTCTCTAGAGAATGATCAACAGGGAATTATAGTTACTAATATATGCTTGAAAATATTGATTGGTATATCGTCATGATTCAATACTAAATTAAATTCAGTCATCTATAGTAACAAAATAAATTATGTACTCTAGAGATTGATAAGATCAAATTGGAAAGGCATACTGAAAACGATACTATACTAAATGCTTCATTATTCAGTTTTATATTATTTTTCAATAAAATTCAAACAATAGTATAAATTTTGTTAAAAGTAAATTCATATCATCTATAATTTATATAGTTGACATAAATATTTTTCTGTTCAATGTTCGTGGATCAGAAAATATGTTTTTTTTTCTCTCTGTATAAATAATGTGTTCTGAAAAAACAAATGTAAGGTTGTTTGTTTTTTCATAATCATGATAGCGTATGTCAACAATATAATAAATGTACGTGTATAAATATTTTTCAAATATATAAAAAATAATCTACGTTTTTATTATTTGATACTTTATTTTCCACATACACAAAAAAATTTAATAAAAAGTTCTTAAATTCTTGCAAAGAATTCACCATTTTTAATAAAAAATACAATATCATCATTAGTCATTAAACTTTCATTAGAACAAATATCATCAATCCATTTATGTAAAAATTTAAATTCTGATGATGTTGTTGATTGAAATTTTCTTTTTGAATCATTATCTTTCTGTTGTTGTTGTTGTTGTTGTTGTTGTTGTTGTGGTACTGAAGATCTTGGCCTATCTAATGAACGACTACGTATAGATGATTCCGGTGGTGGTGTTGCACGACTCTTTAACATAGCATTTGTTGGCGAATCATCATAAAAATGAAAAGCAACACGAAGTCTTTTTACATGTAAATCTGTTTCAGCATCATTGTGAACAATAATTTCTGAACGAAATTGTGCTGGTTCAAGTTGATCATTCATTGTAAAACGGATAGGTTTTAAAGAAGAATCAATATTATAATAGGAAGGTGTATCACCTATGAAATGTCGTTCTTCAGCCTTGCACTCAATACGAAAAGGTTTTGACGATGAAAGACGAGAAGAAGGATACCAAATATTATTACGCTTGTTAAATATTCTTCTTTGTGAATAAGATTGTTGCGGCTGTGAAGACTCTGATACGAGGAATTCTCTTTCTTGATACGTCATTTATGGGTCTATAAAAGAGGATGATAAATTGTGAAAAAAAAAAATCTTTAAAGTTGTGTCGTTCTTTAGTCTTTGTTTTCTTTCTCAATTGCTTGTTATCTACAAATGCGAACAGCGCTCATCAATTTTTTTATGCAAAAAAAAGAAAGTCATTTATTATATGCTTTCTCTTTCTTGTTTTTTTTTTATTCTTTTATTTAACAAGATAAATATTTTAAAGTTTGATAAATGTCTATTATCAATTCTTACCCTATTTAATAATGATTATAATATGACTTGTTACAATAATTGAGAACAGATGATGTTTGAAGAAATCTTTAGTCAATTTATTTATTCGTTCATTACTAAAAGTCATTTATTTACTATGTCAAAAGCAAATACTATTTTTCTTTCTTTGTTCTTCTTTTCTTTTTTTTTTTTTGCATTTGTACTCTCACACTTAGTTATCAGTATTCGTCACTGTTGACAGACAAATACACACATACATCTATTGCATCTTATAACGCTAGACATAAACCACTTGTGGAAATGTGTATGTAGTGAGTTTCAAAGATTGTTGTTTAGTAATGTTAACGGTTTTTTTTTCATACGGCATCTTCATTTAAATAAGATGACGTAGAGTATTATTTTGTCATCCAAAAATAACAACAATTATAGAAGCATTAAAATAAAAAGATAGTGTGTGTATAAAAGACCAAAGTCTTACTTGTGTTATTGAAGATGATAGAAAATGTCTGGCACGTGCCCTTTTTCTCTGTTCTTTTATATTATATTGACAATACCTATGCTATTTCAATTTTAACAATCAGTCTTTCACATTCTCATTCACATATTCTTTTATATTTTGATTGATATTTTTTTTTTATTTATGCCTATTTGCTCGTCGTCATTGTACGAAACTGATAGGTTGAGGTCAGAAAACGAAGAATGACAAAAAAGAAAATAAAGAATGAAAATAATTTATCTATCATGAAAAGAAATATTTAACCTTACTCTCAACTTGATATTCTTTTACTTTTAATTGCTCGAAAGATATCATTCTCTATTGAAAATAACTGTTACAATTAATACGTCAATTAATGGTTAGACATCATTCAAACATACAGACAAAACTATAGACAATTGAAAAAGAACCTATAAATAAACGAATATCTAACTAATAAAAAATATTACATAGATCATTCGATAATTATATGCTATCATATTATGGTAGTGTTGAACGATTGTGTCAGGAATGGGCTGAGTTCATCCGCAACTTACTTGAGTTCACATTGAAAAATTTTATAGTATTAATATTTCTAAGATAGTTTTTTGATCAAATAATTGATGATATAAACGTAACAGTAGTTCTTACAGCAATACTGATATCACAAGTGACTCGTAGGAGAAGTTTTATGGACAATTGTATTCAAAAATCAATAAATAACAATTATCTTACTACTTTAGTATGTCTCTTAAGGAAACTTATGTTTGAAATAAATATTGAACAAATGCTATGCTCAAGATTCTTGACAGTAATCACAAGAATAATATTTCATATTGACGAATGATCAATTGCGTTGAAAAATATTAATAGATAAATTCCAATCGAATATGTATTTGTTCGGATATAAAAAAAAGTTATCCTTATATGTTTAGTACTTTAAAAATGTATGTATTATTAGGAATGTCTCAAGATTGACATGATCAAAGTGGAATATTAACGTTTTCTTCCACTAAGACAAGGTCTTGATTCTGTTTCTTTGATCTACTGCAGAAAATTCTGTAGTTACTAAGCAATTGGATGCAAAATTGTTAGATTTTCTAATATTTCATACGTTCAGTTAAAAATTTCTAAATATTTCACGAAATGTTAAATCACTAGCGTATTTCACGAATATAATCAAGTTTGCCTTCTAATTATTTTTGCATCAAATTTAGTAACATTCTTGAGTATTTTATGTCGATAATATTCATCATCCTAGTAGAAATTATTTTTCAGTAATATTTTTCTGAAAGTAAAAGACGATATCAATCGATAGAATCAAGGAATAGAAATTGTTGAACTAACTATGCTTTTGCGGCTATTATTATATTTGTTTTTGAAAATGAATTTAGAATCGGCTACATTTTTGTTATGAAAAAAAAATCTCTTGATGGCAGATTTGAGAAAGGAAGCAGTTAGTCACTTTAAATAATCATAGCGTTTCATATTTCTGCCGAAGCCTAAAAGAAATTTCCGTTTACTTTCATAAGAGAAGTGAGCAAGACAACAAAAATACTTTTTCATCTTCTACCGATCATAATACTTTTGGATGAGTTCAGGCAACGATAGAAGAAAATCATAGCGGCGCATGTAATAGTACCTAATGATTTCATTTCTATAGTACGATTGATTGTCGTCGATTGATACTAACTTCTTTTTTAATTTGAATAGCAATTGGTTTATGGTTTATTTTTCATGTACCAGACTGAAATCAATCATCTAAAAAGAACCGTTATGAGTAATAATGATGTAGCTGAAATGATTTAAAATACTAAAAATGTTTGTTGTCACTTCGATAGATCTGAAAAAGACTGATTGGTGATGTTGTTTGAGATTGTGATTTCGGAGGAAAACAATTTTGCCGATCATAAGTGATACTGTTTCAATAACACTATGGACGAGTTTTATTCAGGAATATATCTCTTTATTTTCACTCTTTAATTATTATAGTCTTACTCATATTAATATTGTAGAATTGCTACTATTACTTACAGCAATATCAACATTTGATAGTCATTTCAATTCAACATGCAATATACTACTTCAAAACATTAGCATATATTGATCATTTTTGCTTTGTTCACTCATATGTCATTGTTTCTATTGATTTAATCGATATTAGTTTCTAAGTGAGACATTCACAAAATATCTGAAGTTAAAGAAAAACAGTAAAGATATCCATGAAAAGTCCTACTTATTTTTTTTTCTTTTCCTCATTCCCGTATAGATAGAAAAAAAGTTTTATTTAAATTCCAATAAGTTTATTTGAGAAAGTAAAAATAGTATCCATTCCATACAACTTTACTGGTCTGATATCTACTTATCTAAATGGTGTCCTTTGTTGTTCTTAGGAGAATATATCTATCATCAGCAGTGATTTATCTAGTGGGTGAACAGGGTGGGCGATGCCCATCCGAAAATACACAGTTGATTTTATAAAAAAAAGTACATGTTTTCCCTGTCACTTTCACTTTCATTATCGACAGTATTCGTTTTGTCTGTTCCAAGTACTAGTGAAGAATGTGGGATTTAATAATATTTGAATTCTCTGCGCATCAGTCGTATGAGTTTTTCCTTTTCTGTCGATCTTCCCAAGCATTCTTCTCGGCAGACATTTGTCTTTTTTTACACTGCATCGAAAGGTATCCTTCTTATGTTTCTCCTATTACTGTTGACGCTGATAAATTTAAATTGACTTACTCTTTACATGGCTTAACTAATTTTATTATATTTCCTTATTCGTCCTTATCTTAAATTGACGTTATTACGTTTCTTACGTTAAGAAGCTCCTTATTACGTTTAGTCGAAAATAGTTATATTGATCATTGTCTTATTCACGATACTTTGGCCTATACTCACTCATAAATCAGTGGTAATATAGTTTGTCTCTTCCAAATGGGAACAAACGAAATTGAATTATATAAATACAATTCATATAATCAAACATTTATTTGCACAGAAACAACAACAAACATCTACAATTTTAACACAATGACAACAATATATTAATTTAGTTAAAAATGAAATGACAAGAGATATGTATTCACAATTACCATCAAAGTTAGAACTGGTTCGGCAATCCGGTTCCGGTCCAGCTGGACCGGCGAGAAGTCAAAACCGACCGCATGAAATCGGATTTTCGCCAGTTCGTTGTTGCAAAATTTTTGCTTGTGTTTGATGGTTTTTTTCCCCGAAAAACGAGGTGTTTCTCCATTCCTGAGTAGAGAGTTTAGCATAATGTTATTTCAAATGAGAAATGGGTAGAAAGAAACAAGGGACTTGTTGCTCTTTGACAGAATGATTTCAGTTGCGACAGTAATAAATGATCGAGTGCAATGACTGTGTTAATTAAGGAAAATTGACAAGTTTAACGGACAAAAACGAGAAAATCCACATTAAACATTCAGGCTTCTAGATCCATAAAGAACCAGTCGGAACATCGTCAGAAACGACAGATTCCATTAGGTTCGAATATGTTCTTTGCCATAGGATTCTAGTCAGAGTCATTGGAATTTTTCGATAAAAATCTCTAGTTCCAATCGGACCATAATGGAATCAACTTAATAAATCTCGACTGGATCCGATTGCCAGAAACGACGAATTATGGTTGAATCTTCACATGATCAACAATGACCTAGAAACATACGCACTTTTCTATCAACTGTTTCTTTCTCGTGACGATCCTATCCAAATTAAATAAAGCAGTTCGCTTTTCGAAAAATGTCACATTCTAAAAGCATGAATACAATATGCAGATTCAATGGCGCGTTTTTTCTATTTCCAGACAGAGCCGACCAGAATTCAGCCTATCTCCGGTCATTTTCCTGGGTATCCAGTAGAAATCGGTTGTGCACTCATTGATCTGAGTAATTATTACAAAATTATTTCTGATTAGAAAAATCTTTGACAATTCAGCAATACAGAATGTATTTGATCATTCGTATAGGGTGTCAAGAAAGGAACTAAACAACGAAAAATTTCAATATCTCTGCCAAATTTTGACGTGAAGAATTAATAGTTTTAACAATGACCAAAAAATATCTATAGCTCATATTCAAAAAAGAAGCATTGACACAAACTATTTTTGAAGTATTACCGTTGACTGCTACAAAACCATATAATTTCGCATGAGTTACAAAATATTAGTGTGCTTATTTCGTAGCCCAGCATTAATGACATATCGAATTTTTGTTATTACTTTTCAACACGAGTGTTGTTTGGCCTCGAATTTAGACTACAGATACTTGTCTTGTTACTCTTTTTATACTGAAAATCTCACCAATAAACTGAATGAAATTCTTAAGAAAATTGCAATATTGTTTCTTCTTAGCTCATGAAAGGCTAGTTCTTTATTGCAGTCAATTGTGATGCTTTCAAACAGTTTTTATCAATGCTTCTTTTATGAATATGAGTTATAAACATTTCTCTATCATTTATAAAACTATTAATCCTTTCCATCAAAATATGACAGATATTGAAATTTTTCGTTGTTTAGTTACTTTCTGGACATTCACAAGATATTTATTCTCATATATCAGTGTCAGCACATATTGATTAAAACATTTGAAAAATAAATAATATATAAACATACAGTAAACATCATCATAGTTCAATCAAATCTGGAGCTAAGACATCGAACATATTTTCAACTAATTACTTCTTCTGGAAAATCTATAAGTGTTAACGAGCACAGTTGAGAATAATGGACAGTATGAAGAACACATTCAATTGAATATTGTTCGACAATGAGTTCATTTACCTGATGATAAATTCGAAATAAGATATTTTTACAAATTCTATCAAGAACTTGATTGTCTATGGAGTAGGTACGATCATAAAATGATTTCATTGTTATAGAGATCATATTAAGATTACGAATATAAAATGAATCAAGTATTAATTGATCAAACCGTTGAGTAACATCCACAAATGAATACAGAATATCGATCATAATCAATTTTTTTTAAAATAATGAATAAAATTTCATTGGACAAATCGTGTATATTGAGGTGATTACTATTCTAAATGTTCATGTCTAATTTATTCAGTTCAATCGTCTCGTTTATATATACATAAATATTTTCTCATTGTCATCTGAAAGAACAATGAAGAATAAATACTTATCTTATAACAATAGACTATCATAGATAGGTGAGACCATTTTTCATTCTGTCAAGCATTTTCTTTTGTTCATTGACAAATCAATCCTCAGGTTATTTATCAGGTCATTCTTCTTTTGTCACAATATTTTTCATCGTATTCAATACTTTTTATAGTACATAAGTAATATGTTGACCTGAAGAGCCTTACTTAATTGAATACTAAAAGATGATAGGAAGACTGTGTGTTACGAAAGTCCACGCAATCTGATTTGGTATTATATCTGATGGACTAAAAGTAATCTTTCGCGAATTCTGGTGTTTGATTTGAATATTTTGTAAATTTTGACCTAAAGTTGAATGTCAACATTTAGCATACCATTTAAGATCCAAGATCTGTCAGACGAGTATGGAAGTCATGTATTGGTATTCATAACTTTAATATTAACAAGACTCAAACTCTAGTAACCTTTCTCTACAGACTTATTGATGACTAGATCAAAAGAGTTCGTCCGATTCATCGTTTCGATCGGAAACATTAAAAAAAAATGTCCAAACTTTTCTGATCCATTTAGATTTACGTCTTTCTCAGTGATGTCAAAACATAAAATAAAGATAGACTTTATTGTGTATACAGAGATGAGTATGCATTGTGACTCTTTGAAGGGCGATATGTGCCCTCAGGGTGTGACACACTTATAAAAGATTAGTTATTTGCGCAATTTTTTTAAAATTTTTGAGTAATTGAATTCAACTGTCATGTTTGACATGTATAACAGATTCGAACGTAGAAAAAGGAAATATCGTAAGTAAATATAATTTTATTTAAGATTTAGTCATATTTTGCATTTCTCTCAAAAAAGACTTGTGATTTTTTTTTTATCAATGTTTCCAGAAGAAATAATAAAACGGATTATATGAGCTTAAAATCTCTTTTATCTACAATTATCTATGTCTAACAGATAGAAAAACTCAGAAAACTAAATTATTATTGTTCGAATATTGTCAACCATATGTTGATATATTATCAAATAATGTGTTGTACAAGAGCAGCACAAAGAAACAAAAGATTAGCATTAGAAAAAAAGTTTCATGAAAACGAAAGAAACATACAACATACAGACAAATTATTTTTAGAAAAATAAAACATGATGAAACATAAGACTGAAAAATGAGTCTTTGAATTGCCTCATTGAATTATGAATAAAATGACCAACGGCATCAAAGTTTTGATTAATAATATTTATAAAAAATTTGCCAAATCACCATAAGTTAGTTCATCATCATTCGATTCATGAACACCGAGCTCTTTAAATTTTGACTAATCTATAGTATGAGATTGTACTTTATCGATAAGATTTGCTTGATTAGAATTCACTTTTGTTGTGTCCATTAAATGTAAATTTGGAGATTTTCTTTCTGAACTATGTGAATATTTTGTTATAATAGGCATTGATTTAGTTGGCTCAGATTCCATTTCGCATATCATATCACTAAATGTAACACTTTTAACAGATGTAGAAGTATTTGATGTTGAAGGTGGACTATCATTATCACGAATCCCTGGTACAGAATTATTACTGTTTTCTTTATTATATCTTTTAAGACATATGTCAAAATATGATTGTCTTCGTTGAGACTGTTTATGATTATTGTATAACTCATTAATTCGATCGTTACACGAATAACTTTTTGAGTTTTTTAATATTCCCTTAAAAAGAAGAGAAATAAAAATACAATTTATCTTATTTAATTTAACATACTTTAGGTTTGAATTCTCCATTTGATGTTGATTTTACATTAACTTCATTTTCTAATACAGGTTGATTAACTAATAATGGAGTTAAGTTCATTTTTGACATGGTTTTTGTATTGTTTTCGTTTTCGTCAAGCATAGTATTATCAATACTATTCTTTTTTCGTTTTTCTCCATATCTTAACTTTGAGTTTTGTGTTGTGTTAAAACAATTCTTCATAAAAGTTCCGGAAAGTCGACGACGATTATTATCAGGTGGTTGTATTGCTGGAGTTTCTTTATTTTCAACTACTATGTTTGGTGATGCTTTTTTGACAGATACTTTCTGTTCAGTGTAACTTGATGATGGTGATGCATGAAGTCTTGTCACAGAATTATGGCCATTAGATGTCATTTGTACTAATAGAGTCTTGATACAGAAAATGTCAAATCTGAATATGAAAATACTATATGACATAAATATATATAGATTTTTTTTTGTCAATAGTTATCAAGGAGAACAAAAAAAATATATGACACGGTCAATTTCTTTTGAAAAAAAAAAGAACAGAGAAAATAGGTTTTTTTCTGTGCAATAGAAATTTAAAGAGAAACCTACGTAAATAGGTGAAGCAATAATATGACTAATATCTAAATCGTTTAAGTCATACCTGATTTACGTCATTTTTATCATGAAAAATATGGAGGCGTTATTGTTCGTTTAGTAAACAAAAAGAAAACAATATACAGAAAGAATGATTAATAAAACAAATCGCAACCAACTCGATGTCTCTTTTTTTATGACCTATACATGACTGCAAAATAAAATAAATCTCGGTCAACTGATATTGGAAGATTTGACTAAATTAAGAACATCATTTTTGCTCTAAGTTATATATGAAATATTCTTACAAGTTATTAATTGTAATCTTCTTGTCGTTTTCGTAAGTGATTTCAAATAAATGAAGATTAATTATTGCTGATTTTTCTGTTATAAAAATATCTAATAGATGATAAAGCTTGAATTTATTGATGATAAATGACTGATTCAAATAACAAGTTTTGGCTTTTTAGCGTGTCAAACAAATTCCTATAATGTTACATACCAAATTTCAAATAATAGATCGTTTTTGTTTGCATGAAGTAAAACGTTCTATTAAGGATTATTGCTGTCTAAAGATGAGGAATTTACTACATACCTATAGCTCGATATCAAGATTGCATTTACAAAAAAGACATAGATATATATACTATTTTGTTTTTCGTGTCAACAACAGAAAAAAAGAAAATTATACAACTACGAAAAAAAATCGGGAGGCCTTGAGTAAGGGTGATAAAAAGTAGAACACTAATCATCATCTACTGAATTTGATCCATTTTTTTTGCTGTACATTTTTTATTACGCTTCGCTACTGTATTCACACGTTATATACAACAAGAAAATATGAGATGCGCTGTATCTTATGACGCAGTTATTATTCATAATAAAGTTTGCAAGTGCAAAAAAAATATATTAATAAGAACAGGTTGTACTCTAACATCGTATAATGTAGGCTCATATCAAGATGGTCATCAAAGAAATCTATACGTTTATCATTTAGATTGGTCACAATATGTATAAATTTAATATGAAAGGTCTTGTAATAATAATGAGAAGACGAAGAATAATCAGATGACTATTACCGCTAATCAACATACGCATCGATCTGAGGCTTAATATGTCACGGAATAATCTTGAGATTTCATTCTTTATTGAGATGCAAAACATGTTTGGAAATTATGAAAAGCATCTAGATGCTGAAGATAAACAAATAAGAATAAAAATTCACTGACGAGGTAAGTTCTCAACTGATAAATCGCTTTTGAGTCGAGACTACGTGTATTTTATAGACTCAAATGAGCTATGAGTATTCTGAGAAGAGTTCGTGTTCCTAGTTAATAGTTGCTGAGAGACTACAATTTTATGCTATTTTTTAAATGAATGTTGTGGTCTGCTTCATTAGGAACACCAAAAAAAAAAACTCATTTTCGAATTTCGACCTGAAACTCTGCATAGAGACATATCTTAACAAGATTTGCTTTATTTTGAATATGTCAGATCTTGTCGCCATTCCCATCCTAAGATACAATTATGGTAAGAGCGTGTCTTTTACATCATTCATATACGTATACTGACAAATTCGATGTTCTTATTTCAAGATAGAAGTAAATCAAAAGACTTGAAAACTTTTACAATAAACTACTCTTGTTAAGATCTGTCTCTATGTAAAGTTTCATGTCGAAGTTCGAAAATTAGTGTTTCTGATGTTCCTAAGCAGAACCAAAGCATTCATTTAAAAAGTACTGTAAAAGTATTGTATTTCCGCAGCAATATGCTAAGGACACGAACTCTTTTCAAAGTATTCATAGCTTATTTGAGTCTACTAATGCATGTCGTCGAGACTTAAAAGTGATTTATCACTTGGAGAGCTTACCTCATTAGTTCAAGCTTCCTTGGAAAACTTAAAAGTATCACAAAAACCGTAAAAAGAACGGGATGTATGAAAGATTCGACTAAAAAAAAACGTCTTTTTTCAGTTTTTGTGATGCTTTTAAGTTTTTAAGAGAAGGTCACAAATAACGCGACGACCCTTCATTCTACGTTCTTTAAAATGGCTTATCTAGTTTTGAGTCATGTGCTTAACATTATAGAAAAATATCAAAAATACGTTGCTATTGTTAAACTTTTTTCCTACTATCTTACAAAGTTTCCAATGCTAGATCGAAAAAATAAAAATATGGATTAATCATTTTTCTCTTACATCATTCATAGAAGGTCGAAAACATAAGAAAAGAACTGTTATACATTTTTTGATCTTGCTTTGCTCTCATTATTTTTTTTGAACCAGTCGTTATATTTTATTGTCTATCATCTTTTAATTCCATTCTCACTTATTTCATATAATCTTAATCATGGTTACCTTGAAAGTTTGTCTTAGTTAAATTTCATATTTAATTTTCTACTATATTCAAAAATAAACATTTTCATGATTTTAGCTAATCATGAAAGTAAATGCAAATCATTTTCAAAATAAAAATCGTTTAATTTAACTGAAAATGGTAAACCTGATCTTTATTGATATCTTTAAAAAACAAAACAAGAGAAAATTTGATTACATATACAACCAAAATGAAGGATTTATTAATCCTAATAAATATAAATATAAAATATATAAAACAATGAAATGAAAAACAAAAAGAAGTCGCAAAAAACGCAATATTCAAGCAACTTCTAGTACAAAAATATAATCCGAAAGAAAATAATAACTTCGTTCCATATCACCTTCACATAAATATGGTAAACGACTTAATTTCCTCAAACGAAAACCTAATGGTTGAAACACATTTAAAATAAGTTCATTGATTTGTTCTTCAGGTAGACGACCTTTTATATAAATTGCTTCATCTGGATGATGATCATTATTATATTCAAAATATGGTTTAAATGGTAAAACAAGAGTTATTATAGCACGACCATTACTAGGATTTAAATGTTCACGAATTTTTTTTAATAAGCTCAATGGTTTTTCACAACGATCAAGGACATTTAAACATGTTATTACATCAAATTTTAAATCTCTCCATTGATCTATATCAAGTACTGTATAACCATAAGTTGAAAGACGCCATTGCATTATTGATGATATTTCTGTAGCATACACTTTTTTGAAAACACCAGCCATTCGTTCTGTAACAGAACCATCACCAGCACCAATATCGAGAAGTGATGTCAACGAATATTGTTCATTATCATCTATATCAAGTAATTTTTTAAATTGTGCAGTTGAATAAACAAACATACGACCACGACCAATTAAACCATTGGCTAAAAATGAATTTAGAAAAAAAAATATTATATGAATACTTTAAAATTGTCTATCATAGGCGATATCTTTCTGTTTTAAACGTATATTCGTCTTATATGAAAAGTTTTATCAACATACCTGATGTTCGTGCAATAAATATTGTCAATAAAGAACTAGCAAGACTATGAAGTATTTGTACAGGAGTATTATCAGATTTTTCTTGACTTTGTTCAATAAATTTCGTTGTATCTTCATCTTCATGAAGTTCTTGAAAAAGTTGTCGATATTCATCATGTAAAAGATCACTACGTGTTAAACGATACCATGTACGTCGATCGATGTCTTCTAAATGTTGATCATTTTCTACTTTCGATATTATTGCTTTTGCCCAAGCCGAACGAACAGGTAAATATGAAGATTGTTGACAACAAGAACAACATTCATTATTGTTTGTCATCTGGAAAAAATAATCTATAAAAAAAATAGTACAGTAAAAATAGAAATCCAACTATATGATGATTAAAAAAAAAAAATTTTTAAGTGAATCAGTATTTCTATTTCCTTATTGACATCTGTTTTTTGTCTGTCAAACTTTAACTGGTTTATCTATATTAACAACATATTTGAAATTCTTGATAAAATTGTAAAAAAACATATATTCATTCAACAATAAATTCTTATAAAATAAAATGATAAAACAACATTATCAATAAATCATATCTTCAGTCTTTTATAATCCATCTGTCTTCACTAAGCCTTTGAAAATATTAAGTTTAATATTCATTAATTGATGCTTTCGATGATTAACATTTTTCGATGGCTTAAAATAAGATCGCTTTGATATTAATAAATATTAATCATTTTAATATCTTCTTCAATCAAACATTCGTAAAAACGTAATAAGATTATATCTAATAATTAAAAATTTTATTCTAAAATGAATAATAATAGTTATTATTGAATAACTCTATTATGAAACTTACTGAGCAAAAGTAATTATCATCTAATTTAACATCAACATTCACTGAAATAATATTAATGAACTTTATTCTATTTAATCTTTACACATATTGAATCATGTAATTTTGCCTTAGAAAAAAATTCTTCTATACTGACACAATTAATATCATAATTTAATAAAATAAATAATTATTCCCATATAATGAATTTTTACTGAAAATCCATCATTCATTTTATTTAATCTTCAAACGAAACAAAACAATATCAATCAGACAACCAAATAAAATAATCAATAGACGTATATATATATTTCGGAATAAGAAAAAACAAAAAAAAAACAGAATTAATTTCCTTCACAAATTACAGTAATAACACTAGCTTCCATAAGAATAGGATCTAAACATCTCATAGCTGTACTACTAACAATTTCTTCAAGTAAACTTGTTATAAATCTATCATCATTATTAACAAATGACCAAAGATAATTATATAAATAATTGATATCAACTTGTACTTGTTGTAAACCATAACGTGAAAATGTTTTTAAACGAATACATTCTAAATATGTTTTTAAAAGTAATTTAATTATACTTGATAGAATAGAAGTTTTTTGAAATTGTAAATCAATAAATATATCTAATTTTTCACTGAATACTTTATGAAAATTAAGTTGAAGATTTCCAGTTGAACCACCTGAACTACCTGGTCCACCACTTATTGTTCGATCAAGTGCTGAACTACGTGGCATTATAATTGTACGACGACCACCATCAGAACTTCGAGCTCCTCCACTAGTCAAATTTGAACGATGATAATAACGACCATATGATGATGATAATGATGGTAATGGTGCTGATGATTGTTGATCATTATAAAGCATTCTGACTTGTTTATCTATTTGAGTTAAATCTTCAATAATACGTTTCATTACTGAACGTACATGTCTTGGTTCAATTGTATTAAGCCAATCACGTGTTTCAATTGATTTACGAAGCATTTGTGAAAGAGTATAACCTTGAGAACAAATATATTGTTTAAGTAATTGTTTGGCAATAATACTAAATTGTTTTTGGATGGCTGTTAATTTTGAACGATCTATTGATGATCCACTTTTTTGATTATCACCTAGATGAAAAACAAAAATCTTTGTATTATCTTAATGTACAATAGTCATTAATCTATTATTCTTAAAAGCATAGATGAAGACAACAGTCAAATGATAATTATAAAATAGTTTATTCATATGGTTTCCCACATATCGAATATACAAAATTTCCAATTCATGTACAACATGTTGTTTTAGCGATTGCAACAAGATATCATTTCAATCTTCATCCTTAACTTTTGAAAGGATTTCTTGTATTGAAATACTCTCACAGAAATATTAACGAAACGGTTATTCACTATAACGAATTGAATCAGAGCCACCGTTGCCCAAAATAATCACTGAAGATTCTAACTATTGCTAGTGTGATGCAAAAATAGATATTTGATTTTTTTGGAAACTTCCTTTATTCAAAGTCATTTTTTTTGCAGATGTTCTTGTCAATAAGTTCTCTTCCATGGTTTTCTCTCTTTTTCATCTCAACATTTCTTGAAATCAAGAAAAATTTTTGAAAAAGTCATCGAACAGTTTCAACTACCGCTGATGTGAGTGCGTCGACCTGTCCTTCTTATGAAATCAATCACTGTTTTCTAAGTCGTATTAATTTCTTAGATCGTTTTATTTCGTGTGTATTAAATTATAAATCATGTTGATTTAAGAGTTATGGTAGAAACGAATTAAATAATACTCTTATTAGACTGTATGATAAAGTTGTTTTCAATCTTTTGTCAAATTTGATCTCAAACTTAATCAACGGTAAAGGACATGGTCGAAAATCATGGATTTTTCCTCACGCTGGATATGGTATAAAATGAAAGTAATTACTTGATGAGTAAATCACTAATCCCATATCAATTTGTCAAGATTTGATCCCTTTTTTATAGATGTTTTCCAGTGCTATGGGTGCACCAAATCCTATTTTTCTATAGAAAGATTACAAATTTTCAGTATTAAGACTCACCAAATCCAACCAAATATTTGTGTCGATTATAACCAGTTTTATTTGCTCTACTCAATAATGATATAAAATGACCAAATCTATCCAAGACATTTCTACGATTTGGTAGGGTTTGGTGAAAATATGATACTTTTTACCAAATTCTACCAAATCTTAGAAGTGTCTTCGATAGATTTGGTCATTTTATACCATTATTGAGTAGAGCAAATAAAACTGGTTATGATCGACACAAATATTCGGTTGGATTTGGTGGGTCTTAATACTGAAAATGTGTAATCTTTATATAGAAAAATAGGATTTGGTGCACCCCTAGTTACAGTGCCAAGTGCGTCAATCGGACTCAGACATACGTATTCGACACTGAAAAACACCTGTAAAAAAGGGATCAAATCTTAACAAACTGATATGGGATTAGTGATTTACTCATCAAGTACTTTCATTTTATACCATTTCCAGCGTAAGGAAAAATCCATGATTTTCGATCATGTCCTTTCCTATTCCAAATTTTCTTATTAACTTCTATATAAAATATAATGAGAAATCAATAATAAAATCTAATAATATAATATCTAAATTGTTCTTTAATGAATAAAATATATACCTCGTTGATTATTTTCAAGAATTAAATTAAATTTTTCTTCAAATACAGTACATAAATATGGTATTGAACTTGAATCAAAATCAAGTATTAATTTACTTAACATAAGTAAAAGAATTGGTGGTGATGATTGTTCATGTCTTATTATTGTTGAATTATTACTTGCTGTTGTATATTCATGTTCAAAATAAGTTATTAAACGATGAAGTAATGTTAAAAAAAATCCATTCCATACATGATTTTTAGCAAATTGTTTAATAAAAACATTTTTTTTTCCTATATGACCAATCATTTCTGTACCATCAAGAAATATTGATAAATTTTGAAATGTAATTTTAATATCATTTGTTAATTGTTTAAGTATTTTATCAACACATTGTGATAAATTAAGTTGTGATTGTTGATGTTCAGTAGATGATGATTGTGTATGTTCATTTGTTGTTGTTGATGGTTGAATAATAGTTAATGATTTTCTTAATTCAATAATTTGATCATGAAAACGTCGATCAATATATATATGATAAAATTTTAAACGACATTCAATAGCAAATGTTAAAAATGTATCAAGCATAAAACGCATTTTTTCTAATGCATTTTGAGTAAATAAATATTTATATATATCATTTGATGAACGACGTAAAAATCTATCTATAGCACGTACATATAATTGTATATCATCATCTTGTCCATAATATTTTGATTGAAATAAATCATGAATAAATTTTATATAATTAGAATAAAGTTCAAGTAAATATTCTTCTAAATATTTTTTACAACGTTCTTTATATTCATCTTCAATACTTGGTGATGAAGATATAGTAGATGAATTTCGAATAAATAATAATTCATAAGATTCAATAAATTCATGAAGATTTTTTATATAAGAACTATAACTTGTATCAACAAATTCAAGAATATCCATTGGATGTATTTCTATCAAAAAATAAATAAATATTATATATAGTTATAGTTAATAATCAATGTTTAATCAAAATATGAAGAAGATAAATTAAAAGAAATCGACTAATATAATGTAAGTCATATTTATTTTATCGAGAAGTCTCTAGAGAATATTTTTCTTTTCTCAATTTTATATATATATAACTCTTCATCAAATTGAAATTACTTACGTTGTGTAACTACATTTGAAGTTGTTGTTGATGATGTTGATCCTAATTGATTTTCAGCAACAATAAGTTGTTGTTTCATTAATTCTAATGGTTGTTCAAGTCTTTGTTTATTTTGTGAGAGATATTGTTGTGCAAGATAATCAGATGATTCACCTAATTGAAGTAATAATTTAACAACATTACTTGATGTTGTTTGTTGTTGATCAAATCTTAATTTAAGTTCATCACGTATATTATTCATTGTTTCTTTACATGTTTGTTGAATATTATTAAATGATGGTATATGTTCATATTTTTGTAAGGCTTTTAATGCTTTTGTATATGTATTTACAGCTAAATCATATTGATTATCATCTGCATATTCTTTTAATTTATTTGGTAATTGAAATAAATATTGTAATTTTTGTAATAATAAATGTATACTTGTTAATTTACGTATTTCTTGACGTCGATTATCAAGTGTTAAATGTATTTGATGATTATTTGAATTAATTGTACTCATTGTTGATATAAGATGTGTCATTTCATCTTCCATTGTTTTAAAATCTTTTTTCATTTGACGAATCGTATCTGTTGCTGATATAAATTTATTATAATTTTCATATACAAGTGTTTGCATTTCATTATCTAAAGTTTTTATTTGTTTTGTTAATAATTGTTCTTTATCAATTAATTGTGTTAAACGTGATTCACGTAATAATTTTGT